GTCCCACAGTAACTGCAGTGTCTCTCGGGTAACATTTATATACATTTATAACATGCTGTGACCTCATTTGTGCCTGGTCTTGTTGGGTTTGCAACGCGACCCAAGCTTCCACCCCTCGTTCCCGTTTTTTTCAACGCGAGCTTTGTGTCAGTGCGAAGCTGAATTCAGCGATGAGTCTGTGACTCGTTTGGACCTTTTCTCATGCCCTTTTCCGGAGCTGGTCTTGTGCCGGTCCAGCGAAAGATGTGAAGCACAATACAACTTTCTTTCAAACGAAGCGGTTCTAATCACCTGACCCAAAACTTTCCAGAATCAGAACAAAACAACAACAAGCTATTGCAATAATCATCTCCAGGCCTTTCATGGCCTTTGGCATCCTTCAGCTGAGACTCTGGGACAGTCAACACGAGAACATCTCCACTGCAAGCTTTGAAGAATGGAGAAGTTGCCCGTGTGCTGTGCAGATACAACTGGCTCCTCCGAACGTCGATTCAGACGTGAGAAGATGGATCCTGACTGAAGCGATCCTGTCAAATGTTGGCCCAAGGACCATATTTCCTACCATCTCATCTCCAAGAGCTGAAGCGATATTCTACATACTCTGTCTCTACATGTCCCTCTATATGTGCTGATGGGATCTGATGGGCGTGTATGTACCTTAAGAACTACACCAGATCTTGGACGGTTGTTCATCTTGCTTCGCTTCAATACAGGCGCAGCTGGTGTGGCGAAATCACACAGTGCAGGCCTCTGCCACGGTTTCGTTTGCAGAGAATTCGCTCAATTGGCACATCACCTCGAAATGCTGATGCTGGGTTGCCTCAAAATTGGAACATCACCCATTTATTCTTGGGAAAACGGGTTTGGAAGATCAGTGTTCAATCAATTGGATTCCCTTTTCAAGATCCGATGCTTCAGAAAATCCATATTTCTCCGCAATGGCCATATCTGGTGGATAAATCCCATGATTTACCATCCATTTCCCCATTAGAATTGCCGGGCACCTGGCTCGACACCGAGGCAACCAGGGGTCACTTGGATTCATTTGGTACACCCTGAACCCTAAACCCAGCTCTAAAAATAATCCAAGATACTTTGGTACACCAGCGGCCTCAAGTAATCTGCTTGAGGGCCGTGGGGAACCGCTGGATTGAAACACTGAAACAGAAATAGCGAACCCCCTCAACAGTGAAACAGAAATGGAGGGAAGAAAATGGAAGGCTCAAGAAAACGAGAGAGAAACAATAAACTCAACGATCTGGCAAAAACATGCAACGAGTAGACCACTTCCATACCTAGGAGTCTCATGGCTGAGATCATGGCTGCGCAAGCTCCTCACTACGCCACTTCGCGGCAAAGGAAAGTAGTGAGAAGCTTTCCTTAGCGGATGGTTTATCTGGGATTGCATATCACATCGCGGCTTTTATAGCGAGTCTTCCGTCCAAGTTGTTTTGCTGGTATTGCTGCACTTGGTGCCTAGTATTAGTAACCCTCGATCTGTGAATGGCGCTCAGGTGCACAAATGTTGGCTTGCTCGGAAATGCGCAGGTGCTGTCATGCCAAGATTCAGTCATCTGCTTGATGACAGTGAGACGGTAATTAATCACGACGATGGTGGCTGAAATTGCCTCACCGTCAAACAATGGTTGTTCCCACCTGCGCAAACGGGGCAGACAGCTTGGACAGCTAACATGCCACATCAATGCCATCCAAACCCTCCCTCCACTCCAATTTCCATCAATCATATTTCCAGACAGTATACGATAATAGAGATATTGATATATATATATATGTGTGTGTGTGCGCGCGTATGTATGTGTAGACATACATACATCCTGCACACACACACACACACACATATATATATATGGTCATATATACAACTGCACATACAAGGGCACACTACAATCTTTGTGCAGCTTGGAACTGGGAACTGGGTGCCTTCCAGCGGTGTGGGTGCGTTCCATTGGATGAGCACTGCGGTGATGTCATCGCAGTAGTCACCGCAAACATGGGCCCAGCGCTTCCTGCTGGCACTCGTGATGAATTCCACCTGGGCAACGGACAACCAGGTGTTACCCCTGCTGGATACCCTTGAAAGATGATCAAGAATTGAAGGTGATACACCTGATAAACCGTTTAATGATGTTTAACCCCAACCAGACAATGTCGAAAAAAGTGATCTCATCTCAAACAGAAGATGAATATTTGGAAGATATGCCGACAGGGAAAAAAAGAACAGATACGAAACGTCAGGTTTCTGGTAGTTGATAACGTTCAAAGTTTTGGGGATCTGGAGTCCATGATGTTCCAGTCCAAGTTGCTGTTTCACGAGTTCCCTTTAGTCGAAGCTTCTTCGAAGTCATGTTGCAGCAATCTTCGCCTTCGATGAACTCCTTGGGTCCGTGAATGATTTGTGTTGCCCAAGATTGCGAAGTACCACCATGTGTGTGACTCTAAAAATCCAGCTAAAGGAAACGGTCACCACCATGATGAATTTCAGGGTGTGCAGCCCTGAAATTAAAAGTCAAAGATATGATCAATTTTTCTCCCTCCCCGAGTAGGAAAATCCGTCCAGTAACCTCAAACTTTGGTCAAGCATTGAGTCAAGGATCCCAAATGCCGTCACTGGCCACGATCGCATACCATTGATCATTCGGCTGCATCAGGAATTTGTGATATTCAGGCACCCGCGAAATACCAGCCTGGAACATGGGTCATTAAACGTCCCAATTGAACATCACCCAACTATGAGGTGTTTTATCTGTAACGGCCATTAAAGGGTGGTGTCCAATATCCCAAAAATGGGACATTTACCAATCCCTGTGGAATGCCGGTGACATTGACCATGGACCGGGCTTTCAGTGTGACACTCTGCAGTCATGAAGCATTCACCACTGAGGCCCACACGCAGGCGGTATCACCAAAGGCACGTGACATGGTCAGGCCAGGGAAGTTGGAACCTGCCAGGTTTCAGTCTGAAACAGCCATGGGCCTGGAGTCCACCGAACTGGTCCATGTTGATCTCTAAAATCCAGCCCCGGCCTTTCAAATAGATGCGCCAGCTCCCTTCATCCACCTCTCGAACTTCACTACCTTCGGCTTCCAGACGTGCTTTCTCCTCTGGTAGCTCTGGCTTGTGGTCCTGGTGACGTCTCCCACTGGAAACATCTGGAAACTGGATGAAAAATAGGGAACCAGCACGCCCACAAACATATCTGAATTGTCTATGAAATTGGCATATCACCAGCATGAGTCAAGCAACAAATTGGGACGTATTTTTAGGTTTTTTAGATATGCATATATGATTTATATGTATACAAAATACATATCCCACAGTCAATCCAAAATAGGTTCCCTTGTTTCTTCTAAGTGGCTGAGTGGCTGAGTGGCTGAGTGGCTGCACGCCCAAAAAAAATCACCAGTACGCGTTCCATAAAACTAAAGCCCGATGATGTCCCAAAAGAGAATCCATGATATCCTCATAGTTTTTGGATGACCAAAACCTCCACAACTATCATTAAAATGTATTATATTCAAATCATAGTGACATCCTGACATCCCCTCTTTTTTCTAGGTGATGTTCCTCCCATCCCAAGAAAGCCATTCTTCTCCCATATGTTCCATTGAATTCTCACATTCAGATCCCATGAATTTCCTCATGGGTTTTCCCCATCGGCGGCCTTGGTGCAGAAGATCATCCGCGAGTCCCGGCGATTCCAAGAGCCCAACATCACCCGGGCGTCGCCGATGAAGGCGATGTGCACCTGGGAACTGCCCGAAGGATCGCCATGGGACTCCACCAAGGTGAACCGAAACCAACAGGTGAGGTTGACTATAACTATAACTATAGTTGGTTAACTAGTTGGTTATAACTATAAGATACTATAAGTATAACTATGGCACCAACAATTTCTGGGACTTGGTTTAACTATAACCAAGAGTTTAAGGTGAAATATAACTATAATATCTAGTTGGTTAACTATAACCATAACATACCACAACTAGTTGGCTCAGTTGATTTATCACCAACTAGTTCTATGACTGGTGAAGCCCCCGGCCATGGGATGTTCTTCGGTGGGATCATAGCTCAGAAAATTCATGGGGATTGTCATACCATGGTTGTGTTCCAACCCATCAAAAATGCTTGGATTTATCCAAGCAAAATGGGATGGAAAGCTAAGAACTAGCCCAAAAATCATGGTTAGCTGATTTATTAGATATGGTTTAAAGGATATATATATATACATTATAATCGAGCTTTCCGGCATGTTTGCCTCAAACCAATGCATGGTGAAGCGCAGTAGCTCACCAGGCCGCAAGGATACCGAGTTTGTTGGACACCGCCATGGAGCCCGCCATGTGCCCTTCAAAACTTGACATATCTAGTGGCCCAAGATTAGGCCATTCACCAAAACAAGTCCTTCCCTGATTGGTGCGACATTCGATAAATGACATATATTTTTGCACTTAAATACATCCATTCATATCTAATTCATATCCATCATGCACCACCCCTCCCAATCCCAGGCACCGTTTGCTCCTCCAGTACCAGCACGGAGCCTGCGGCGCCGGAAGCCTCGATGTTGATGGTGTGGAGCTTGCCTGGCGACATCGTCGGATGGGACGATCAAATAACGAGCGCCGAAGACAATGGTTAGCTTAAACTCAATGGGGTGGTGATTTGTTGCAGGAAACTGGCTGGTGTTGAGAATTTCTCATTTTTTGGGTTTTCGGTCCTGTAAATCTTCCCATCATCCAATTCCGAGAAGCTGGGTATGAGTCAAGTTACTGGGGTATAGCCCAACTCCGCTGCTTTATCAAGGCTTAATCGTACATGTCACAGCTAGATTGCAATTTTTGGGCACACCCCCAAATGATCCTGAGCAGCCACAAAAATGGCTAGTCCAACCTTCTGAGTTCCGTTTCAAAGACTGTTGGAACATCTCGGATCAAGTGCACAGCACCGTGCCAAGTTACAGAACTCCTCCAGATCCTCTTGCGCCTTTTGAAAGGCTTCCTTCAGGGCCTCCTCCCAGTTCTTGCCAAAGTGCTCACCTCAAGGTTCAGCCACTTGGGTAATCTTGGGTTCCAAAAGACGTGAGAAAATGTGAAAAACAAAATGAGAAAAGGAGATTATTGGAAAGGGAGAATCTCTGTCACCCCATTTTGGAAAATTGGAACATCAAACATCTTCAAGACCAAACTGCACCAGTCACTTTTGCTGAGATAAAACGGCAAGGTCTGCACCAGGCGGAAGGACACCAGGTGTCCAAAAGGTCCATGGCCATCACACACTCCGTACATCGTAATGGCGCCCACGTGGTGGATGAAGAAGTTGTCCTGGCAAACGCAAAAAGGCCTGTTGGTGACCCGGGGTGATGGAATGAACTTATTTGATGGAGATTGGGGTATACATACATACGTATATATATAATTATATATATATACATGTGTAGATGCATCCTATGACATGTAATTACATTTTATATATATCTCTCTCTCTCTCTCTCTGTCCCTCCCTCTCTCTGTCTCTCTCCCTCGCTCTCTCTTTCTCTTTCTCGTTCTCGTTCTCGTTCTCTTTCTCTCTCTCTCTCTCTCTCTATATCGCGATCTATATATGTATAATTATAATATATATATAATTATATGTTATATAATTATATATATATATACATTTATATACATTTATATACATTTATATATTTTTATCATATCATATATCCCTTTACCATGATACCAACCAATGGTCGAAGGATGTCTCTTCATGTCTCTGGTCCTGATTCGGTGTCGGATTGCTCGCGGACTTCTGCCCCTTCTGGCACAGCACGGCAATGTCGGTGGGCTGCTTCAGCTTGGTGGTGCCCGTCCAAGTGTAGTAGTCTTCCTCACCTCCAGAAGTTTTGGGACTGAAAAAGACATCTCAAATCTGCTGGAGCAACAGATCATGCTGAGCTAAAATCCCTGACACATCTGACACTCCCAGGCCAAACTCAAAATCTTGGAACTTAGAACCCCATTGTTAAGATTCTGTATAGTGAATCCATGTGAATCCCCAGGACATTGCGACTTGGGCCCGCCTTTTTGCTGCTTCTCAAAGCCGCTGCGGCAATGGATGTGTTTGTCCATGGTGAACTTCTGTCCCGGAACCACTCCACCGAACATCATCATGTGCGCATCCGACACCACATGTTCGTCGCTTGGTGTGACCAACGCAGGGTTCTTGAAGTCCTGCCCCAAAGACGCATGGCCCAAGCTAAAAACAGCAAAATGATGTTTATATATGTTTATCAACTGTTGCCCAATGGCAAGTTGCCTACTGGCGGCCACTGGCGAGCACAGGGAATGTGGAACCGCCTCGCAGACACAGCATCTCCTCGACTCTCTCTCTCGCTCTCTCTCTCTCTCTCTCAAGTTTTGAGACTACAGTGTCACATGAAGGCCCAATATTTATGAATTTCAACCTTTAGTCATTTTAGTGTCGTGCAGTTGCCATCCCATCCTATTACAGTAAATCATATCAAATCATGTTCCATCCAACCCTTGTCCTGAGCCACCTTGTCTGCCAAGGTCTCGGGTGGTGCTTCAGAGCCCGCCTCGCTGACCACCTTCTTTTCAACTTTGATCTCTTCCTGCTTCTTTTCGCGTTTGCGCACGACCTGTGCTCCCAGACTTCCCAGAGCTTTGAGGAGGTCAACAGTGATGCTAGTGACAGTTATGCTCCAGGAGAGTTGTTTCAAGGAGGTCAACCTGGTCAACCTCATAACCTAAGAAAACCAGAATTTGGCAAACAATCAATCTGGGCGCATTCGGCCGCGGCCTTGGGCTTCTTCTCTTGCTTCGCTGAACTGTGCAGATCCTCATCCTCATGAGCATCCCTCTCTTCATCCAATTGCTCACCGGCGGCCTCTTTCATGGCATCTTGGTATTTGGCATACTTATCCATGTTACCTTCCAAGAAGCTCTGCAAGGGTCCCAAGATTCGTTTGAAGGTGGGCCGCGTGATGTAGAAGCAAACAGCTTTGCCCACCGCATAGACGCTGGCTTTTCGGGGCTGTCCACTGAGCAGTGCAATCTCTCCAAAATATTCGCCTTTACCTTGGAATAACACAACGAAAGGATTTGTGGAAATGTGGGCCAATAATGACCAATACAATCCAATACAACATGCAGCTTCAAAATGCTTTAATGATCTTATGATAACTTATGATCTTCAATGTCTCTTCATGTTTTGCATTCTCCCAAGCAGACTGCTGATCCCTACGCAGTCTACCAAGATGCTGTACTGCTTCACCTCGATCTCACCCTTCTCGCCGGCGATGCAAGCGACTGCCTGGCCACTTCGAAGGATGAACATCTTGTCGTCCTTCTCGCCTTGCTCCACGATGGCCTCATCATCATCAAACTCCTCTTCTTCCAACACCTCTGCCAACGAACAGATCTGATCTTGGGTCAAAGTGGCGAAGATGTCGCAACTATTCAGGAACTTGCAGGACTCCTGAAGTGCAAAGGACAGATACTATGAGTCTCCTTCAGTATCTATCATTATGATGGTTTGGGTTGGTCTTCCACGACTGCAGTGGCACAGGCTTAGTTCTTGACTTCTTGGGCCAATCACCTATGCCTATGCTTTTGCGAATAGTCAGATCTGACAAGTTGTCATCGCAATGAGATTCAATTTCATACTTTTCACGCCTCAATGTCATCACGTTCGGCCCTTGCCTACTCCAGCAAAAACTAAATAAGGCTTGGTCGACTAAATGGGGTTTTCAAGTAGTAGCAACTGACGAAGGTTGTCACAGACTTCCTCATATTTACTCCGTCAACATCACCTTTTGAGGGGACCACCAACCGTTTTTTGTGCAACATTTCAGTTGGTGCCACCAAGAGGATCGAGAAGAGAAACCTGGAGACATATCATACCTGTATTGTACCGGTCAAATCTTTTTCTCTCTGTTGGCTAAAAATGTCCAGTTCTATCCAAGCATCGCTGGTTGCATCAGTACTGTTTCCAACATCTGCATGAACTATGAATGAACCATACTGTCATAGCCTGCACGCCCATTATACCTCAAGACTTTTTGATGTTGTTTCGCTCTGGGCTACAGTGCCACAATTTTATTTGATTTTTGTTTGTCTACTTGTGTCAGAATTGCGGTCCGAACGAAACAAACATGATCAAGTGCCCGATCTCTCCTTCCCACCTCCAAATGCCCAAAAAAAACTCATCGACAAGGAAAAGCATCTTCATCTAACCCTGATCCTCACATATTAGGTTGATATTAAAGTTTATATCATGCTAATGATCCTCATCTTACCGCCCCATGATTTCCCATTTTCCACCAAGGGCTCCTTGAACTGCGCCTCACTGCTGCGCACCACGAGGTTTCGGAAGGCCGTCCGGTCCAGGCTCCACACCTCCGAGTCGTCGTGCGCCGTGATGGTGGCGCTGCGCGGACAGGTGTAGAGCAGGGCCATCTCGCCAAAAGCGAAGCCGGGGCCGCACTGGAAAACCTTCCTGGGATGGAAAACATGGAAGTGGAAGACCGAAGTGTACCGAAGTGGAATCATTGTGCTTAACAATTCCAGTGTTATGAAAATCAATGCAAGTCATTAATCATGTAATTATGGCTTATCATGATGTAAGACAGAAAAGAAATGATAATATGATTATATAATAATAGTGATTGGTCTTTGGAATAATAACTACGGATCAATCATGCAATCTTGAGAACATTGATCTTGGCAAGAATTTTGACAATAATGAATAAGAATAATTAAGAATGATGATTAACAGTTGATAATTGTGATTGGACTGATAATAATATACAATAATTATACAGGATGAAATCGTGGATAGGAAATACTGTTTTTTTTCTGTGCAATGATGAGATGGTAAATGGATGATGGAGGTTGAGATGTGAAGAAGATAGAGGGAAATAAAGATGGAATTTGGGCACTGTATAGAGCAAAGTCCGGCTTTTGTGGTTGCATAGTGGAGGATTCTGCATCCAAACTATTTCGCTGAGTGTCTTTGGTGGATCATCACCCTTCTTCACGAAGATGTCAAAGTCACCCTTCTTCACAATGTAGAAGTAGTCGCCCTCATCACCCTGCTGGATCACATTCTCCCCCTTGGCAATCTTCTTGATGAACATGGCATCCAAAATCTTCTCAAAAGTATCCTGGGTGACGGTGCCAAAGAGCATGTGAATCTTGGAATCCCGGGAGGATTTGATAATGTTTGACAACGAAGCTCGTTCCTCAGGTGTCTTCTCATAGACCGGTGGCACCCAATCATCTGCGTCACCTTTGCTCGCTTCTGCACTGACTCCGGTGCGTCTTCCTGGAGGTCGCACAGGCTTCTTCACTGGTGCTGACTCATCTGGGGCGTCATCATCTGACGCATCGGAGTCGTCTGCTTTGGCTTCCTCATCTGCTGCCACGGCGGCTGCGGCCACTGCTGGGGCAGCCTCTGAGAAGGAAACAGCTGGCGCTGCTTCAGATCCTGCAGGGGCACTGAAGCCTTCGTACTCGGGGGGAGCTTTTTGAGCAGCTTCATAGCAAATGGCCTTGAAGGTCTCACGATCCAACTCCCACAAAATGCACGCCCTGGAGGCTACCACAGAGGCAGCACGCTTGCAGTTGTACAACAAGGCGAGCTCGCCAAAGACATCTCCACGCTTGCAGGTCTTGACCACTTTCTCTTGCCCTTGGATGACCTTGATGCAATCCAACTCACCATCCTCAATCACCCACATCACCTCTCCCTCATCTCCTTCCTGAATCAGACGGGTACCAGCTTCCACCTGTTTCTCCTGCATAGCATCCAAAATGATCTTCATGTTCTCCGGAGTGTGGTGTTTGAACATCCAACAGGCTTGCAGAACTTCCTGCAGCCGGGCAGTTTGAGCCTCATCCTTGGCAATGACCTTGGGCACGTAGGCCTTGCGCTCGTTGAAGGCGCCATAGGCTTCTGCCGAGACGGACTGTCTCTGCTTGCGCTGGGGCGGGGGAGGTGGAGGTTCATCCGGTCCATCGTCCGCGCCGTCATCGGAATCACTATCCGCTGCGGCTTCCTTGGGTCCATCGGCTTTCTGCACTGTTCCTGCCACCTCGCCCTCAATGAGATCATAATCCGCACCCTGACTATCCTTGCACACCATCTCCAGCCGCTTGATCATGAATTCCACTGGATCCTCTGGCTGGCTCACAACCATCTCCTGCAGGAGCTCCTGCATTTGGCGCAAAACATCATGATTGTCCAAGTAGCTGCGCATCATCAGGGCTGTTTGGAGCTTTCTGGAGACCCCACTGCCGGACTCTGTGGGCTCCTCTTTGCCTGCAGCCCCACGGATCTGCAGCTTCAGACTGGTTTCTTCCTTACCAATGGGCACTTCATAGACATCCTGCCCCTCCTTCACATCAAAGGTGTGGCTTCCAATCTCTGCCATCAGATCCACACGGACCGGCTCCGTGCCAATGCCCGTCACGCCAATGGCCTTTCCATTTTGGACCTGGGCATGGCGACGCACAGTCCCGGTATGGAAGGAGATGATGGTCCCTTCAGGCAGGTCGCCGCTATCCACGATGGTCACTTCCATCCTGCGATGCTGTTCTCACTGCCGACTGCCACTTCGACTCGGAGACCAGCCGCTGGCTTGAACCAAAACAACCAAACATGAAGGGATCAAAGAGATAAAAAGCGTACAGAGCAAGTGTTGGAACTGCCAAAGCTTTGATGAATCTCCCAATCTCCCACCGAAACACGATTTCAGTACTTATTTGATTTTGCTTGTGTTGCAAGCTGCGTTGAGACAGTTCAACCGAAGAAAAAATGCACGCCATATCAGTGAACAAGGTCAAGCTTGACCCAGCTGCCTGGCAGCGTAGTAGACCCGCATGTCCTGCATCCCATTCAGCAACCAACTGTCATTTACATCATCCCAAATGGTGTCTACCCAATCGTAAACCCTAAATGGGGATGGTGCATCATGGGGTTTTGCTCATTAGACAGTTTATGGTTATCCATGATGGGAATTGTTATATGAGCTTAACTCGCTGTGAACTATGGATCATTGATGATCATTGTGTGCACCTTTCGAACTCAGCGGCCCTTCAATCCGGCTCATGGATGGGCAATGAAAAATACTGTTGTTAATTTTAAGTATCTTTGGTTGTACTACCCAATTTATGGGGATTATGTTAACCCATAGGGGGTATTTGTCATGGCTCAAATGTCCTCCCACGGGTTGATTCATAGAGGGGTACCAGCTCACAACCTTAGAATCCTAGCTGACGGAAAATCCAGCATCAAAATCTCTATATCGCAGTTGGTTTCAAGATATCAATCCCGACTAATGGATTGATGACCATCCCTCAATACAGCTATACGATCCGACTTTTGACGGGGAGCGCGTATAATTCGAGAAAGCAAAACCGTGGCTCGCAGTCAGCAGCCCACACCATATCTGTGTCACTGTTTGATGACACTAGAATTCCATGCCTGCACTGGATGGTAACATATGCGAATATCAAAATGTCTACAGTAACGGGTGGTCAAGAATGAAATTCCCAGCTCATGGATTATGAATATTATGATGATCCCTAACGATGTAACCCTCTCAACCATTCATCAACCACCTGGGTCCTTGCTGTTGTACTTGGCAATCAGCCTCTTGGCAAAATGTGGCAGGGACGTCAGCAGTGCAGATCCCACGGTCCGTCGTGCTCGCCGCTGAGCAGGGTCTTCCTTCGCCAGCCGCCCGTGGTGTGTTTTTTGAGGGATTGGATTTTTGCAATGATGGTAAAATCCTCTAAAATCCAGTGGTTCTTGCACACATTTCCTGAAGCGAACTCAGGAGAAATCCACATTAGTGGAGTTCATCTGCCCAGTTACGGTCTAATAAAGTCTAATAAAAAAAAATGTGGGCAAATGGATCTTCATCCCCTTCCCGCATCAATACCCATCCCAGTTGTTCAGTGTGATGAAAGCATCTCATATCAATAATTTAGCGGTTAGTTTTAAGATTTGGAAACAGAAAAACCCTCTGAAGATGGTTGTCTTTCCTTTGCACCTGTGAAGGATTGGGTCTTCCCTGCCAGCTTTTGTTACCGAAGGGTACGCTGTTCAGGTCTTCATCCCATGGCTGATGTGATGGTCCTTTGGTACCTCATGAAGCCATGGGAAGTAGTGAGCCAGCACCTCCTTGAAGCCCTGTGCCAAGGCACGCAAAGGTGCAAGGCCCCGAGCCCCAAGCTGGAGTGCTCATGTCAACATGTCAACCTCCTCAACACCAGTGCAAAAATCGCTACAAACATTGTCCTTGGAATGGTTTGGATGTATTTCGGCTGTGGCCACTTTTACTTTTCATCTTTTCACTCAATATATGGACGGCAAACCCTAAGGAAACATGTCCATGTTTGCAAAAGCACCAAACTGTTGAGACAAGGGTGCTTCACAAAAACTCCCAACGAGTCAGCCACTGGGCTACACCTTCACGGCGACAAGGCCTGAAAGTGCTCGGTCTGCATTCCCACCACGCAGCGGCGCAAGCGCCAAATAGCCGTGCTTGCCTGAAAGACATGAGGGGGAAACTACGTAGTGGCCAAGGCAAACCTCCTCTGTCCATTTTTTTTCCTGCCAATGAATTTTACCACCATGTGGGGTACAAGTATAATTATTTACAGTATATACATGCCAGAAAATTGTTCCGGCAAGAGAAAACGAACAGTGTGGGGGGTAGGAAACCAAAGTAGGAAGCAATGGGACACCGATCTGCCCACACAAAGTGCCGATACGAGAGCGCTCCAACACAAAGTGCCGAGAGGGTTGCGCGGCGCGAGCGATATCAAAATTCGCACCGCGCCACAACAAGAGCGATCTGACACGCTCAAAGTGCGGAGAGGGTTGCACGAGCACATGTTAGATCTCACAAAACATTGCACACACCACGAAAAATGAACATTGAAAACGTCAAACGCTGTTTTCTCTAGGTTTCGGCCACTTTTTGACAGAGGTCTACAAAGCACTGTGGCTGCCACAAAAATTGAACCGGAGGCACCAGAAGTGCTGCACCTGCCACATGGAATCATCATCATTCTCAAATCAAAAATGACGACAGTTTCACAAAAAGGAACTTTCGACCCTTTCAAAACGTCGTCCAAGTTCATCAAATAATGCGACTGCCATGCAAAATCTGTTCCTTTTTACCACGCCGGCCAACGTTCCGAAAGTGCCACGCCTGCCACGCGTGCCACGCGGATGAAAAAGTGTCCGATGTCCTGCCCCTGTCACGCAAAACGACGTTTTAGACCTCAAAATGTCCTGAAAGTGTCACGTCTGCCACGAAAAATTGACATAGCCATCCCCACTACCTTAGAGGGTGGGACCTCAAAAATGTAAATGTGACATACATTTATGGTATGGTCAGAATGCAGGTTTTGGAAATCCTGCTACTAGGGACTTCTAGGAGCGTAAAGTACCATATGTAGTCCTATATGGATCTAAGAGACCTAAAAATGTAACGTTACTGTACATTTTTTGGTCTTTATAGCCTCCAAGACAGGTCAACATACCTAGAAGAAACATGTTACATGAAACATGTCATCGTATGGGGGGGGCCCTCAACAAATGTAACATGTACCCCCCACCTGCATCCCTCCCTGCTAATGATAGCTATATAGAGGGTGGGTCCCAAAAAGGGGTATTGTGTATTACATTTTTGGGGTCCCCCGGGTCCTTTTTGGTAAGCTAAGGGGGTAGGGATACATAGCTCAAAAAATGGGCACGGCAAGCTAGTAAAACGATACCTTCAGGCTCATCTTGTGCGAGCATGCGCAGTCGAAATGCACATGGACATCTCACAAGCAACCCACAAAGCGTACCCTGATCTAACCCCGGCCTTTAACACCTACCATAAGACCCCCTCAGTGTGGACACACTGTGTGGGGAAAAACCACTTCGGCGTGGTGGCATAACCACATGTCGTGACGCTGAGCCTTGGTGCAAGCTGCATACCAAAAGAAAGCGAAAGAACACACGGGCTCTCAGCAAGACCCCTTTCCACCTACTCACAAGGACCCTGTAGGGGATCTCTGTCTAGGGGAAGTGACAACACCTCTGAGCAAGGATCTTTTCCAAGAACCCAGGAGATCCCTGTCCAAGCATCCTTTCAAGGAACTCACAAAAGCCCTATACAAGCACCTTCCCAAGACCTGACAGGATCTCTATGCAAGGACCCACCAAAAAAAATGCACCACGCCACAACAAGAGCGATCCAACACGAAGTCATGCAGAAAGGGTTGCGCAAGCTACAAGAACTATCCAGCAGGTACAAAAATGTCGAAAGGATTGCGGGAGCCAAAGTCAAATCAGCACCACGCCACGACGAGAGCGACCCGACACGCACAAAGTGTTTAAAGTGTTGCGTGAGCAAATGTTGCGCGAGCAAATGTTGCGCACGCCACGAACATGAAACTTCAAAAGTGAAAAAGGATGTTTTACGTTGATTCGAACCCGGGCTAGGAACCCTCAGTGTGGACACACATGGACACACTGTTTTGGGAAATTAAACGGGTTTCCTCAAAAGTCTCTGAAATCTTTAAAAATCACCAGCAACATCCAGCAACCCTCAAACAAAGGTAGCTAAGGCCCGGGCATCGCCAAATTCTGGATCCAGGGCCCACGTGAGGCGATTCTGTGGACCAGCCAAGAAGCGGTAGTAGAAGCGCTCCTGCGCGACACCCACTGGGATCCATAGTGAGAGTTGGGCTGAGAATTACACCAGGGGAGTGAAATTACCATTACAGTAGTGAATGAGTGGTCAAGATAAACACTATAAATGGTGAAGCAGCTGGGTGCATTCCAGCAAATTCCACTTGTATTTGGTATGATGCACCACTTACAGTACGTAAGCCCCAGTGCAAGCCAGCTGCCGGCGTTCCCTGGATTCCCTGGGTGGAAATCACCATGAAATCCAGTGGTTTCTCCAAAGCTGACTGGATCATACGACACATTGCCCATTCGACACATCCAAGTCCATCAGGAATAAACATGAAGATAATTTGAAGATACATCATATGAATATATTTATGATATTTGTGTGTGAATATATGTGAATTATATGAAGTATATATGAATGATATGAAATAAAAATAAATAAAATATATCTAAATATGATTGCATTGATGTACCATCTAGTCACCTAGGGCTTCCCTTCGCATGCGTGTCCTTGGCAGACTCAGGACGCACTCGATGGCCCAACGGATGACCCTTGGTCTTCTGCAGGTCCAGACATAGCATGTTCTCCCTGCCATCAGCTGCTTTTTGGGGCAAATCTTCAGAAGATATCCAGGGAACTTTTTTGGGTCATATGATATTCATATGGGTCATATGGGAACATGATTAAAAAGAAACTTTATGAAACTTTGAATTCAGAGATCTTGAAATCTGAAGCGAAGCTCCGCAGTAGACTAAGGCCACTCCCTGCATTCACTGCGCGAGATGCCTGTTGCAGAAGATGCCTGTCTCCTGCACGCCGCAGAAACACATAACTCAACAACTGTTTGTCACATGTCGATAAGGGTCCACTCAAATCAACTCAATATAGAAACAAATTGAATGTGAAGATCTATATGTAGTGAAATAGCTGGGGCATATACAGTGCCGGGTCTCCGGGGAGGGTTTTGTCAGTGGTCCTCACCATTGTACCAGAGACGTTCGCGTTCCACACTTCTCAAGTAGAAACGCCATGCGGCCGCGCTCCAACCTCAGCTCACCATGGTTTTGTGTGATTTTGTCAATGGAAGGCTTGAAAACCATTGAAAACCCAGCAAACCCACTCAACCTCCCTGGAGGCCACGGAGGTTCACACAATGGTATGGAGTGAAATCACGTTGGTTGAAACAACGTGATTTCAGGTCTTGGAGTCTTGAATTGATTCATTGATTCACAAAATCTTGAAGTTTCTTACCATCAACCCACTCAGGAGAATGAGGAGACAAGGTTGGACAAGGTTGGGCTGTGGCTGCTGCATCCGTATCATCTTTACACATCACCTCTTAAAGCCTCTTAATACTAAGAGCGAATGAGGCAGCATGGCGGCCGCAAAGTGTTCATCTTGACTCAGTTCAACCTCCAGTTTTGGGGTTATTGTCCTTCTTAAATACCAGCACATGATCACCGTGATCACCCCAAAACTGCACCATCACCATTTTCAAGAAGTTCACCATGCATATGTTCTTAAATAGTGAAGGGGCTTAATTAAATCACCCATTTTCACCCCTTCAATCCTCCCACTGCCTGGAGCTGCTCTGCCAGGGTGCCAGCTGGCCCTCGGCCCAGACCCTGAGCAAAGTGCTGGTCCTCAGAACGCCCCATGGCTTGGTCTGAAAAGATGCTCCAAAATCCATAATGATGATATGAATGGTTGATAATGGTTACCATATAGATTATAAATATATAGTAATAATAATAATAATATATATATATATATGATGGTGATTAATGATGTCTACCCTCCGCTAATACAACGTGGCAATGCCAAATCCACTAGAAATGGAGTTTTTGATGGAAAATCGTCTAACAACAGGGAGTTGTCCATTGCCATGTTTGATGATCAGAGGGGACATTGGTTGACCGTCACTTTCCCGATTGAAAATTGCCATTTGGAGTGCATACCCTGTTTCCAACGCACCCATATCCTGATGATTAGGTGATCACCCCAGGGGTTAGAAGATCCTTTCAAGGCGGCTTCCAATCATTCAAGGCCGCCGGCCGGTCACGTCTCTTTTGAAAATGGTCACCAAAGTACTGAATAGCTGCTTTAAAAAAAAAAAGTAGAAAAAGGCAGTATTGCTTACCATATTAAAATATGTACCATCTTTCTGCATCATATCTATGTATGAATATGTACAACTATCTATACCACTGTATACCTTATATTTCTGGACAAGCCCGCCAAGCTGAAGGCAACCCCATCCCTGAGGTCTCGGCCGTTCTCTCTTGGTAGTAGGATAGGAACCGCTCCACAGGATGTCGAACCAAGACAAAGCAGCGCGCCTTCTTCCGCTGCTGGCAGTCGATGCCCTCATGCATGGCACGCCTCGCCAAATCCCGATTTGGAAGAGAAAAACCCTACGAAGAACAGTGGCAAATTACTGTTCTTACTCTTCGATCCTCTTTGGGGCTCCTCTGTGTTTGAATGACTTTCCCGTGAAAAATGTTGAAACAGCAAGAATCCCAATGGCTGTTCCCCTTGCCATGTAGCACAGTCTGAAGTCAAGGGGCCAGTCGAAGTGCCCAGATAGCACTTGGAACTTGGATCTCTGTGAAGGACTTGCGCTCTTCAGATAGAAAGCAGTTCCAACCTCAGCCCCCAACCCGGTGGCCCCGGATGCCCCACAGTGAGCGCTTAGACTTAGACACCCAGCGGTGCGCTCAGTGTCTGGCAGCTACTGGATGCCCCGGCATGGTATACCTGAGCTGCAGAAACTTGTTCACCGAGTTTTTTTGAAGTAGCACCTGGTTTTTCAGGTGCTTCAAAATTAAAACTGGTGAAGCCCATGTTCAACGGATTGGTTTAGGGCAAATCTACAGGAAACCATGGATTTTCCGATGAAAAGAGGGGGTGGGTCCTTTTATTGTTCCCTTACACCAAATCCATTGATATGTTTACCCTCTGGTAAATTTAACATAGCTATTGAAAATGACCATTTATAGTGGATTTTCCCATTCAAAATGGTGATTTTCCATAGCTATGTCAAATTCCCAGAGGGTACCACTTGGTGCAATTATCAGCTCAGCCACATGAAGGACGACTCCAACATCCCGAGCCGCCAAACCTAGGGCAGTCTGCCAAATCACCCCCGAGTTTCTTGCTTCAGTACATCCTCATTACAGAACGGCCTATACAACTTAGTTACAATTAATTATTGTGTTTCAGTTTGAATATTGAATGCAAAAGGAACTGGCCTCATTTCCACTGAAGCTCCTGGCGGAATATTTCAGCCACTGCATGAAGGCAGTGCCACCGGATTTCTCGTCCCACAAAAACACGAAGGGCTCCTCCTGACTCGGGATGGCCTGCCGAGATTCGCTCTTCGGGCTCTTCGGGTCGCTCCAAGTAGGTGCCAAGTTGCTGATGTGGCTGCTGTAACCCATTGGTAAAACATGCTTTAAAAAACATGCCTTAAAACCACTTGCAAGTGGAATCGGCCTCATGGTAAGCTGTAAGCAGAATCCCAAGTGTGTAGAATCGTAGAATGTTGATCCTTTCAAGCAACTCACAACATCCGATGACAAGTGACTTTGCCGGCCTGAACCCAAGGGATCCCACCCAAAGGCGACTCAAAGACTGTGCCATAAGGCCCACCTTGGAAGAAACTGAACACAGCGAAGCTGTGCGAGCACAGCTGAACTTTCTAAAGCCAAGGCTGCCAAGGCTGCCAAGGTGCTGGTACCGCAACGAGAGTCATCCAAAGCCGGCAGGGTCAGGGTGTTGACACAACATCCTGAGCTTCTCATGCTTCAACTCCGTGAGCTGCTGATGGCTGCTGATTGCTGCCAGGCAACGGTGGAATGTCCAGAAGTCATCGAAACAGAGAGGATCCCCTTCGACTCCCAAGGATGTATCGCAACAGTGCTCCTGGTATGAAAAAAGCATGGCCAAGCAACACACATCAACATACCAAACAAATCAGGCTAATATAGGCTAATCTACTTTGCTAATCGCAATCTTTACATTGGATACATTGGCACTCCACCCCATCCTGAGGTCCTGGGACATGCCACCCAGCCAGCACAGGTTCTCTGCCCAGGGTGTGGTGAAATGCAAGACCTCGGTCTTTAAGCGGCCTGGCGTGGCATGAACGGGCTATCCATTGGACATGCACCGTAATTTGCCAAAATCATCTCTAAACCCATCCATCATTTCCCATAATTTGCCATCATTTACCATCCCTTATCAGCCACAAGTTGCAGGGCTTCATCCCAATCTTGGATCACCTAGAAGCCTCTTGCAAACCCAGTGGCAGTAGGACTTGAAGCGCTTTGCCGGCCTCCACAGCACAGAACAGCATGGACACATGTTGGGGCCTGCAGAAGAAACAACAACTTCAGCCAATCATGACACACCTTGAACACTGATCACATGGAAACCCACCACATCCAAATGTTGATGGTCATTTTTGTACTCCAACTGGGTTGAGTTTGGAGGTTCCATGTGATATGAAATCTCAGATAGAGGAGTCAAAACGCAAACATAGCCTGACAGCTAAGGTCTCTAAGTGAAAATGCGCTCACACTCGGTCGCCTTGACCAAGCTGAAAAGCCCCGAAGACTCCCAACCAGAAGGCCTGGGGTGCCGAGCAAACGAGGATCCCCAGCGCAGCTCGTAATTGTACCCATAGTCACCATTTACAGAAACCCCCAAAAATATGGGGATGTGAATTACATGAGTTGACCAGTCTCTCTGTTGGATTTTTTTTTACTGGGTTTCACTTTGATCATCTTTGATATTTTTTTGGGTTGCTGGATATCAGCCCATCTTACCCCAAGGGCTTGGGCCAGGCCATGCCGGGCCCGATGGCCCCACCACACCGTGACACCGCTCCTGGCTGGAGCGAAAGCACTCATCATTCTGCAGCTGCATCTGCTTGGAGATGGAAAGGCCGTCCAGGTCTGCCACCTTGGCGTCGCAATGGAAAACACATATATCTGCAAATGATCTATTCAATGGTCATTTCAGGATCCTAAAATGGAGGTACTGTACCATATAAGGCTATATTTTGTGGGGATATGATATCTATTATAATGATCTATATATTATATATCTATCTCTATTGCATGCACAAGGAGATGATGGCGGACGTATTTATTGATTGATTTATATCTCTCCCTCTCTGTCTCCCTCGCGTGCGCTCTCCCTCTCTCTCCCTCTCTCCTCTCTATCTGCATCCGCGTATTGCGTATGTATATACATTCATAGGCGTATTATATGTGCTGGCGAATATACCATGTATGCGTGCATGCATGTCTGTACAACAAATCACATATTTGGAAATATTTGGAAATTACCCGTGACAACTGCCATGTGTGTGGGTATGTCCCAACAAAGATGGTCAGGATGTTGGCCCCAACCAGCCCGCCTGCAACAGCAAGTCTGGGAGGCTTGCAAAATGCTTCACAGCAGGTGCTCTGATGTATTCAGTGAAGTGGAGCCAATACTGTCGGGCCTCAAGAAACAATCAAAAACATGGAAAGATCAGGTACAAAAAAAGGCCCGGCTCACAAGAAAAGGCTGGACCTGTCAACATGCCCGGCCTCCAGGAATTCCAGGTCGAAGGGGGAGTATGGATGTGATGGCAATGAGGCAGGCCATGTGCTGACAAGCCTTTCACTGAAGGGCTGCCTCAACAAAGAACGATCACCCGGCACTGGCATCAATCAATAAGCATCACAAGCATCACAAGCATCACAAGCATCACAAGCATCACAAGCATCACAAGCATCACAAGCATCACAAGCATCACAAGCATCACAAGCATCACAAGCATCACAAGCATCACAAGCTAGAAAAATAGCCAGAAAGACTCAGTCAGAGTAATTTAATCTTGAATTAGCACGACATACTTGCTGATTGATGCAGAACACAAAATCCTGTCAATGCAAAAAGCATGCTCCTGGTGTGCGATCATCCTGGCTGAGTCTGTTCTTGGAACTGAGTCAGCGACCCATCATGTGCTGAATTCCTTGCTAAAGGGGGCCGACTCTCAGGGGTCTCAATGAGAAAACACATGCATCATCTCAAAGCAAAGGTGGAACGTCAAGTTAACTGGGCCACATTTCTACGTCAAGAGACATTCTGAAGCGCGCAAAGTAGGTGACTGCCACTCGGTGCAAGCCAGCAAGATCAGGGAGAAAGAGTGGTAGATTCATCGCATAGATATCCTTGGAGCAACCGACACGGGCTGCGCTACTTGGATGATCCCAACATGCCATTCCCACATGAACCATGGTCAAGTTACATGGCATTTGGATGCGTATGCCTATCACCAGGAAGTACATTTATTATACCATCATTACCCTCTGGTAAACTAACATAACTATGGAAAATCACCATTTTCAATGGGTAAATCCATTATAAATGGTCATTTTCAATAGCTATTTTGACATAACCAGAGGGTAACCCCAAATCAATGGGGGTGATGACCATCCCCCAATGTGTGTCGTGTCTTTTCGTCTGGGCCACATGAAACATCACCAGGTTCAGGTCCCAGGGCATCATTACAGCCGCCCGGTAGGCGGCCATCTCAGCGTACGGCATGTGCTTCCTGGCGGCTCAAGCCAGGGATGCTAACACCAAGGGACTGCTTTGTCTACCTTTTTCTGATATGATATGTCATATATGATAAGTGATGTGCATGAATTTCATTGAATTCATTGAATTTCTGCATTACCATATTGCACAAGAGTTCTCAGCTCAGCGGCCATAAGGCCCCACCCAAGTCCTTTGGTTGATGAAGCTGTGCCTGGGAGCCAGGATCCCAACCTTCAGACCCAGCCCTTGGCCCACAAAAATAGCGCGCGGACTGCCCAAATGGCCCAGTAACGGGCATCGCTAATCCTTCGCCGAGAGGCGGATAATCGCGGTGTTTCATTGCATTCAGTGCTAAGGTGAAGTAGGTGTCGCGCAACAAACGGGCTCGATTGATCACCAGCACATCCTCACAAAAATCCAGCGCTTGTGTCACTTGTGTCTTGAACAAATCCGGAAAAAAAGACAGCCCCGTCCTTCGATGCTTTGTCTGGGTTGTGCATGGCTCCAACATACAGCGAAAGGGGTCGCACGCTGGGATTTCGAAAGCCTGGCCAACTTGGCACCTGGGAACCTTCCAAAGGACTAGCAACTTTCTTTCCGGCCAATCCGAACTGCACGTTCCACATAACTCATAGCCCGGAAGAACATCTTTTGTATCATGCACATGGCATAAACATATTAAGGAGACTGTAGTGCTAACAAAAACCTGCGTGACTGCATCACGGCCACCTTGAAACAAGCTGACATCTGACACCATCTTAGTGCCCACAGCATCACAAGGAATCAGATAATCCAATTGTGTTCGAATGTTTGTTCGAATGTTCTACCAGATCGATATTACATGATATTTAACTGTATCAAATGTATTTAAATGTTGTCATATTGTGTGTTCCAATGCATTATTTACAGTCAGATCCACACTGGCCTTTCCCACACAGCGGTTCAGCCTGTTTGCCAATATGCTGCCTCCGCAAGCTGAGGTTCTTCAAAAACGATTGCGCCTGACTGCTGCCCTCATGCACTGTGACCACAGCAGCCCAAATTACAGCATCCGAGATGCGACAAGTTAAGTAGTCTCCATTTTATGGATCAACCCCCTAGGACAGTCTAGGACTCGCATGTACAGAACATCTGAATAATGAAACAGAAAAACTGTGGTGGCATGGTGGTGAATCCATGTGAATCCCATATATCCCATATATATCCCATATCTGCATGCATCTACCTTCTTTGAGTCCTGGTTTCGTGATCTGTTGACTTATGACCCCCATTTGATCCCCATTGAACCTTGCTGAAAGCTGCAGCCCTGGCACAGGGAGGTCCTCCATCCACTGGCATCCCCTTGGAACCGTGAACATCACACGCCTGCATCACCTGAAACCTGCGGCCAAGGCACCACTTGCTTGGACCCACCGACCATAAACCATAAATAAACCTCCAATTTTCGTGATTCATACCAATTTTTGATCAAAGAAATTGATGATTTTTCTGGGCGTGCCACATTATATTAATTACATGCTCGGAGATGCTCAATCACCGCACCTCTCCCAGTAATGGGGCAACGGTTCGCTCCAGAAGTGGTACTTCCCCACCACGGGGTCATTCAACAACAGGAAGCCAAGGTAGGCAATCACCTAAGCAGAGACCATCTCACAGCTACACCGCCAAAGTCTAACAAAGAACACCTAGATGGTTAAAATGTTTTACCCTCATTACATCAAGTCGACCTGCCCAAAGGACCACCAAACTGCTCAAATAAAAGCTTGGTTGCTGGTTTGGAGTAGTGCACTCGCAACTTGCTGCACTCCCCAATCCATTGGCCCACCAGCACATCGGCAGCACGAAATAAGGCATTATCACCTAGGTTTGGAGAGGAACAGTGTGGAGTTGACAAGCACTTCAATCTTTCAGGTCATCATTGCTGAGCATCACAATCAGCTGTGTATATGTTAAACAGTAGGCCGACACATTTTAACAGTATAACATACCCAATGCGCATATGTTTAAATATACACATGTGTGCATGTTGAACATCACAACTGAGATATTATATATATATATATATTATATTTAAACAAATAAATAAATAAATAAATAAAGATAATTATATATAGATATTAATATCTATCTTTACAATCCTTTACTTTACATCCTTGTCCTCACATGCACCCCATCTCCAGCACCGCTCACCTCCAATCAGCTGCAGCCTGGAGGCTGAAATACTGCTGACCAGTGAACCTCGGCCCATCCCAGGAGATCCCAGGAGCCATCGCATCTCACGTGCGAACAACGTTGGGATACTTGGGATACCTTGGGATCACACACTTCGAGCTTCTGGAAGGAGGACTCTCCCATCATGGAACCACAAGAATCCTCCTGCCTGCCGATGGTGAACCCCAATGTGCTCGAAATGATTTTCAAAGGCCTGCGATTCTGCACTGCTGGCCTGTAGGTGGCGAGCTGCGTGGTTACTTTTTCCTCAGATTTCAAGGAAGCACAGAAGTCTTTGGAAGTCCGGAAATGTCCCCGGACATCTTCAGCTCCAAACCTTACGAAGCTTAAGATTTGCCAAGGACAGTGCCGCAAATCCGATATCCACCAAACAAATGTCACGAGTCCGAATCGATTCCAGCTGAGCTGCCGGGAAGAGGGCCCGCAAAGTCACCGCAGGTTCCAACCACAAGGCGCAGTGCCCACCATCAACGGACAGCACGCGGATGGGCCTCAGGTCATAGCAGTCATAGCACCCGGCCGGGCCAAATTTCATGGGACCACACCACCGACAGAATGACACTATGATTCACAAACAATCGAAGTCAACAGCAGCATTCTACAGCCTCGCCTTGGTAGCCCCGCGTGTTCTTGGCAAAAGTCACACCCCTCAGTGGAGCTGGGCTCAAAGTCTTGTCATGTCATGGGCGACTTCGACTGAGATTGGGACGGCTGAAATGCCCTGCCGCGGAGTTTGGCATGCATCGGACATTTGGCACCAGACAAAAGTGGGAGAACCAAATGTAGAAACTGACCAAACCAGGAGTGAAATCTAGCAGTCTCAAAACTCACATAAAACTCCCCAGAATGTACACAGACTGTTTTGATATGTGTTCAGTGATTCTGGTTCCCAAATGCTCCGAACTGCCTGAGGATCCACGGAACCTGGCCCTAGAAGTGAAGGCTTTGGCCAGAGTTGCCTCCCAAAGTGGCCAGAGTTCTTCAAGCCAACTGGGACACAGAATCCACATGAATCCTAGTCATCGTGGGAAGATACGAACACCAACAATACCAGGTACCATAACAAAAAGACCTAAATGGCTATGCCACGGCAAACGTTGACCCAAATCAGCCCATATTTTATCATCCCCCACATTCCTTAGGTGCCTCAGCTGCTGAAAGGTCTCGATGCCTGCGGCTAAAGAATTGAATCTGGGCAACCTCCAGGTAATCACCCACCAAACTGACGACTGGTTACAGTCCGTAAGAGCAATGTAAGTCCAGTAATCTCTCTCTCCCCGTTTGGCACGTGAAAGTCGGCTATAAATGGAGCGCTTTCGGGCATGTTGATGGTTTATCCATTTACATGTTGGTTTACTAGCGGATGAAGCTATTGAGGCCGCTGTTTGGCTGACACTTCCATGGAGCCCACGCTTACAGTAAGTGCAGCATCCCAAAACGATCGGGAGAGCCATACATGACATCGGACCTCTGGGTGTTCTTCAAAGCTATCCTGTCAACAATATGAATGTGGAAGAAGGCGTCTAAGACGTGTCTAAGAATGCAGACACCAAATGTCTAGTCCCATCTCGTTCTATTCCCACTATTAGCTATGGAAAACCACCATTTTTAATGGGAAAATCAACTATAAATGGCCATTTTCAATAGCTATGTTAAATTACCAGAGGGTATCTCTTACTGTCTTCCAACTTCCAACAATCCCAAGCGGCCCTTCATTTCCTCACAGCTCCACTCCCTGGCTGCCACCATAGACTCAGCGGACCCATCGACCAACTGAAAAGTGTCCAGCAGCCGGGCCAGCTGGCCATACTCCTCGTGGAAGATCTGTTTCAGCTGCTGCCGGATGGAGGTGAAATTTGCTCGGCAAAGGATCTGCTTGCTGTGCCGACCCGCTTTGCCCACGTTTAAGGCGTGCAGGGACAAACCATGGTTCCTGTAGAAGTCAGGGCTCAGCCCCAGGAACACCGCCACGCGGACCAGAGCTTCTGGATCGTTGGTTTGAGACGTGGTTAGCAGCCCCAGATTCTGCCTGGAACAGCTGGACACTTCTGAGCAAACCAAGTGGATGGCTTGTGACATCCTGCAATGCCCCACCGAATACCAACACAAACTGGAGAAATTGCCGGGAGAGCACCAGGGTGGAACAATCCCTTTCCAAGCGTTCCATGAGAGGAAGCATTCCAAAGGATCCTTGCAGGTCGCTGAAACGGGCAGAAGCACCCTCTTGTTACAACACATTTTGAAATGTCTAGCTAGAACTGATATACTGGAATATACTGAGTCACAGGAAGCTTTCTGCTAATTGTCTAAGGGTCTCTCACAACATAGAGCATCTTCAGAGGCTTCGACTTCAGCAAAGTTGACAGTAAAAATGGGTAGAGAAATCGCTCAGTTGTTGCATCAGGATCTGCCAATGAGCTCAGCATGTCGCCACTTCCATCTTCATAGGCTGGTACCAAATCAGCCACTAACGAGCAGCCCACCATTTTCTCACGCGTGGGCTGAGCCCAGTTAGATATGTTGGCCTTGATGACATCTGGATGTCCGGTCAATGTGGAAGGCGGTCCACTCAAGAATTCCCGTTGCAGCTGGTGAACTGGCAGGAAGCGAGAGGACGAATAGAGCAAGGTGTGAGAGAAAGTGGTCTGGTGAGTGGATTTCAGAATGGCATCCGGATGGATTCCCAAATTATACTGCAACGAGGTGGTGCCGCATTTGGCCACTCCCAGCACCAGCCACTCCAGCTTCAGATCTTCAAAGCGCCCCAGGCGCACCAAGGGCAGCCCAGTGCCGTTGCGCAGCATCTCAGGGGTCAGCTGGAAGTTGCCGAAAGGGGCACCTGGCATGGTCAGCATCAGGCTGAGCAGCAGCGCCGCCTCGGCGCGCGCCTGCAACAGCCGTTTGGACAAACACAGCGCCGTGGCCACGGTGCGGACATCGCTGCTTGGGCCGGTCCCCACGGCCACTGGGCGAAGTCCTCCACCGACCTCGTAGAACAAACGACCCAGCTGCTTGCACTTCTCAAAACGCATCAGAAGAGTAGCGTACAAGGACTGCCACTCTCCTCGCAAAAACGGGATTTGAACGTCAAACAGATAGGATGGATGGCAAGCCGTGAGCTTTGCAACTTAAACGTCTTCTACGCTTTGCAATAGCTTTGGTCAGCAAAAACAACATGTTCCGATACATAGAACAAACATGCCTCAGCGCCACCCTCCAACAAACACAGAGCAGCAAGTGCCAAGTCTCGCAAAGTACCGAGAAAAACACCGGTGCGAACATCTTTGGGAAACCCAATAGGAGCAAACTGAAGACCCTCCGTGGCTTCCAAGGCCTTCACCAGAAGTTCCACCACTCTGCCCATCCTTAAAAGCCTTCAAACCCAGTCCTGCCCTTGAGCCAAGACTACGGAACAATCTAGTACGATCTATGGTTCATTCTTCGAATGTCCGCGGTCTGAACCCATTTCTGCAGAATTTACGGTGTCCACCTGCCTGGTGGCAGATCTGTGGCATATCTCTTGGTCACCGAGAGATCACTGGAGCTCCTCAAATGCACCTGGCAAGGGCATTCAGCATGCCAGGTGGGTCTCAAGCTGAACAACACGGGGTAATGGCCAGAGAAAAACACTATGTCACTATGGCAACTATTCATGGCCACAAATTGGGTGCCTTCTCCATTTTTCGCGACCAACCCACTTCCACTATTCCTCTATATTCCACTATTCCGTGGTGAAATCCCCATGACCTTCTTCACCCAGGGCCACCAAGCTGCCCAAAGGGCCTCGAAGTCCAACAGCTGCACGGGCCAACTGGTGGAGCTCAAGAACCTGAGCGAAGCCATGTTCTCCACGGTCGACTCGGTGGCAGGAGGCGATTGTCCAATGAACAGACAATGACGATGACGATAGTCATCACAAAATCCTGATCAAATACATGGTAAGAATGATAACAATAATCACCATATATCACCATAATGATTCATGATGATAATGGTAATATAAGTCAATAGTAATAATAGTCAATAATAGTCATATTAATATATATATATAATTATATATATATATACCATATTAATAATATAGCCGTCATCATCATCACCATCCGCAACATCTTTGCCAACCTCACCTTCTTAGGGCCAGGCTCCAGTGCCGCATCCTTCCCAAAGAGCCCCGTGCAGTACCTGGCTGGGCGAATGCCAACTGGGCCCCCGCTCGCGCCCGGCGGTCGAGGCTCGGCGCTCACTGGGCATTGGAAAGAAGCAGCTTCTGGGTCGTCAGGCGCCTCCAGTCGAAGTTTGGCGAGGAACTTACAAGGAAAAAGATGGAAAAAGATGGAAAAAGACGGAAAAAGATGGAAAAAAGCAGGGGGGCGGAGGCGGCTTGCGACGGCGGACCTTCACAATGGAAGAAGATTCCTATCCGTGCTTTACCGGAGTGCGTTTGCTGATTTTCATATTGCGCAAGCCAACAATCCACCAAAGGTGGAGCATAAATGGTTTAAGCAGGGAATTTCACAATTTCGTACCCCCATGTGAACGCAAGGCCCGCCCACCTTCCATCAAGTGGAGCCAACGATGCCTCGCAACTGACCATGGAATGACAGTTGCTACCGAAGATCGAAGTAAAAGGCTCACTTGGAATTCGTCGTGTCCAGGAAAATGAATAGACTCGAACAGACCAACATCCAAAAAGAATCTGTTCTCTTCATTTTGGAAGATATTCACTGCAAGTCCTCTATGAAGCACCCTCAAACCTGCATGGTTTTTTTTCACTGACCCACATCTGCCTTCAAAGCCTTGACCCATCTGCACAATGCTTTTTGATGCTTTTTGGAGCTGTCCCCGGGCTGTCCCCCGCAAATGGGTGGGTGAAACATGGTGAAACCGCATGGCCAGTGCCAGTCTTGGGCTCCGCATGGCTCCGCATGGCCCCGCTACTTTCCAGATCTCATCTCGGCCAGGGCCTTGATCCGATCGTCGTCGTTGTATGTTCGGATCTCCTGAGGGCTTGAGCCGCCTTTGGCCCCAAACGGTTGGCCCGGTTGGCCCCTAACTTTTACTAAAGGCACCTTGGAAAAGTAGTGGTGTATCAATCAATAATGACGGTCACCTTAACACACATCTATCTTCGTACATGCCGATGCGTGTAAGTATGTATGTAGGTGTGTAGATGTGTAGGCATGTAGCATGTAGGTATGTAGGTATCTAGGCAGCAACGAACATCTGAAAGAGGACAATGTTTTGCAGCCACCCTTGCCCCACTAAGCCTTGCCCCTCCTGCATCCGCCCAAACTCTGGGATTTTACCCACCAGTTCTTCCTTGCGCATACTACTCATCTGCAAACCCATGGTGTCGTACATGATCATGATGCACACCATAAAGCCTGGTCGGATGGGGCATTGGCCGGCCTCCTTTTCATCGTCCCGAAAAATCTTCTCTCGCACCATGTCATTCTCCATGCCGCCATACATAAATAAAGAGAGAGGAAAGGTGTCTTTGTATTTAGAGATGCAAATCTTCTCCAGAAAATCTGGCAGCACATCACCACAATAAATACAGAGCGTGGTTCCCAACTTCATGGACCACACCATGGCCCTACGACAATCTTCCAAAGCACCGCTATTCACTCGTTTCAGCTTGGAGGCATCAAGCAGGGTGCTGTTCTTGTTGTAGTGAAAGAATGTCTTCATGGCCTCACAACTGCTCTGAGACCCATAAATCACCGGAATCGCTTTCTCTTTCGTATAGATGCGCTCGATTTCCGTTGGGAGCTCCTGGGAACTGCGTCCTTGTATAACAGCCCTTCCCAAGGCACGTCTTGCTGGGCGTATCAAAAACTGGGAAGGGAGGGGTTTGACAAGTCATCCACAACATAACCAAATATCTAGCCTGTCGCCTTCCAGAGAACGAAAAAAAAACGAGTTGCACCCAGCCCACCTGCCTTGATGTAGACGCCCAGTTTTTTGATCAGCGCCTTCTCCTCCTCAGTGAGCTCCGCAAAGTTCTCTGGACGCGTGGCCGTGATGTCGCGGGTGTAGTTGTGCACGTAGACCTCGCTATGGCAACTGAATTGGGGCACGAAGTGGAGCGGTTTTTTGGCTGTTTAACGGCTGTTTCAAGATTGGTGTTGATGCAAAAACAGCCAGAATTGTATGTTTCATGATATAGGGGGGCACCAATGGTTGGGATACTGCCCATTTTGGGACACACCCAGCTAGTGGATGCAACTTGCTGATCTGTTTTACTATGAGAAATACGAGCGCTGGGACAAACAAAACCAAGCGAAAGATGCCAACCATAGACATTGGCGACAGTGGAAAAAAAGGACACTAGAACTCAGCCGCAAAAATGCTCAGGTCAATATTCAAAAGCTTGCTGAAGATGAGCAAGCAGTCGACGTAGCAATCACCCTTGAAATTCAGGAAACGGTACCACTTTCCCTTCTCGTACGCATGATGATCTATACCTCGATCCTTTTTCTGTTCTCCAGTGCCTTCCTTGTTAAGGAGCAAATTGGCAAAGGCCTTTTCCTCCACAAAGTCCTCCTTCTTTCCATCAATGGATCTGGCTGCCAGGGCATCATCCCATGCCTCTTGTTGAGTGGGTTTGGTCACCTCCAGCAGGTGCATCCGCAAAGCTTCAGGGTCCAAGGGCTCCTTGGGCCAACCCCAAGAGGCCGGGATCTCTTCATCTCCAGCACTGGCATCTGCAGTGCCAACGGCTGCCACGGCGGATTTCAGTTGGTCCAACTGATGTGAGGGAAGCTCCGCAAGGACCAGTCGTACATTATCCACTGAGGCCTCTTTCAAACGCTCCGCCACGCTGGCAGAGGCTCCAGACCCCGTGGCGAGATCTAAAGAATCTGGCTAAAAGAGTGTAGCAAATGGGACCTCTATGGACCGGTGCAAGTATTTGCCTCAAGGATTCCCATTTCACGTTCTGTCCCCGAGTTGCTGTAAAGTTGTTTGGTCGGCTTGAAGTGGGCAGTCAACCACTGTAGCCTGTAGCTATATATTGAGGGCACTCAGTGCGGAAAGTTCAACGGCCGCATTGTCAAATGTTGAAAACATGAAATGCTTCTGAGGAGTGTTGCCAGTTGGGTCTTCTGTGCTCAATATATTCTCGCATGCCACCGCCCTTAGCATTCCACATCACATCCTCACAGCAATCTGGGGGGCGATGCCCCGCAAGGCGTGTTCAAATGCTGCGAGGCCCGAAATGTTTCATCCCTCCATGTCCCGATTCCAAAAGAGGACAACATTCCAATACATTCCATTTCCATTGGTGCGGTTAAAACAATAGTAAACCATCCCCCAGTCATCAGCATTTATGGCTGGTATAAACCATCAAAAATGGGGTGGTAAAAATCTCGCCTCCTCAGCTGCCAGGCGCAACACGCGCATCAAACACGCCGCCTAAATTTGTGTGGCAGCCAGGCCACAACGAGGACGAAGGAGATGAACCCAAGAACCAAACAAATAAGTAATAAATAGTAAATACATACGTACATATCATGACATTACCTGGCATGACATGACGTTACATGACATTGCATTTTAGATTGCATGAAATGACATAATGTGGCGTGACGTGACGTGACATGACATTACATACATATAGTATATATTTATTTATGTATCTACTATTTACTTCTTATTTGTTATTTACTTATATTTATGTATGTCTTAATTTATTGTTTCAATGAATATGTACGTACAAATATGTATATACTATTCTATCTGTATGTATGTATGTATGCATGTATGCATGTATGCATCTATGCATCTATGCATCTATGCATCTATCCATCTATCCATCCATCCCTATCCATCTATCCATCTATCCATCTATCCATCTATCCATCTATCCATCTATCATCTATCCATCTCCATCTATCATCTATCCATCTATCTATCATCTATCCATCTATCCATCTATCCATCTATCCATCTATCCATCTATCCATCTATCCCATCTATCCATCTATCCATCTATGTATCTATGTATCTATGTATCTATGTCTGTATGTCTGTATGTCTGTATGTCTGTATGTCTGTGTGTCTGTATGTCTGTATGTCTGTATGTCTGTATGTCTGGATGTATGCATGTATGTATGTATGCATGTCTGGATGTGTGTGTGTGTATGTGTGTATGTATGTATGCATGTATGTATGTATGTATACATGCCTGTCTGTCTGTATGGATGTATGGATGTATGTATGTATGTATACATGCCTGTCTGTCTGTATGGATGTATGGATGTATGGATGTATGTATGAATGTATGTCTGTCTGTCTGTCTGTCTATCTGTCTGTCGGTCTGTCTGTCGGTCTGTCTGTAATGGATGTATGGATGGATGGATGGATGGATGGATGGATGTATGCATGCATGTATGTATGTATGTATGTTATTCACATGTGTGTACATATAGGTGTGCGCATATCACAAGATCGCATCTGTATGTATACAATATCTACAAAACATGGAGATTGACGAAGCCAAATGAAATCCCAAACAGAATGGAATTGAGCCAAAGCGAAACCAAAAAGATGGGTTAGCGTGCGATTTTGCATTTCAAGTGCACCTTGCCCCTTTGAATGAAATTATATTCATGATGATCCTCCATGATCCATGTTCCAACTTACAGCAACCGTCATGAGATTGTCATAGATTCGCCTACACCATGCCTGGTAGCCTGGGAAACAGGTTCTCCTCCGCGTGTGCCTGAGTTTCAGAAGCGAATTCAATGACTACTTGACCGCGTCCAATGTCACCCATGGAAGTCTCAGACAGCCGCAGAAATCACCGATCTGTGAGATATCACACATTTTGCCGGCGCTACTGGAACTCTTCAATTTCCCACCAGATTGCTCACTGGGTCTGTCCAAAAAATCTAGCAAAACGCCAGAATCCAACAGTTGGAACCGCAAATTGCGGAAAAAATGGTATATATCTCTCCATAAATCTCCCATATTTCCGCGCAAACCCAGGCCATATTATTGGCAAAATCTCAAATTTTTCTATCCCTTATAGCCCCATTCTACGGTTAGTCTACCACTAATCCCATCCCCCAAATATTATATAAACACCGCCTACATGGTCTCAAAATATGTCTGAATGTCCTACTAGACTTAGAGCATGGTTTCTGTGCGGTATTTAATTTCATTGGTTAAGTCATATCACAAAAATATTCAAAAAAAAAAACAGGAAAATTCCAACCACCATGACTCAGCATTCATCCCCATTCACCACCATGACCATCACCGGCCTGTGTTCTCCCAGTAGCGTTGAAAGGAAGTCTTCGATCAGCTGCCGATGGCTGGAGCCCAACGGAAGCAAACCTCAGAAAAGGCCTGGATCTCGGTGATGGGATCCATTTGGTTATGATTTTTGCTTGGGATACCCTCTGGTAATGACTAACATAGCTATGGAAAGATCCACTATTTTTAATGGGAAAATCCACTATTTCTATGGCCATTTTCAATAGCTATGTTAAATTACCGGAGGGTATATCTTAGAATCTTATATATTCTTATATATGTTATATTATAATCTATATTTGTTCCGAACTTAAGTAAACCAATACAATGATACAACTATTTGGGGTCCAAGTATGACATGTAATTGTGAGGATATTATGCTCCTCGGACAACATTCAGAGATATCCTGGGGTATCACTCTGAGGATGCGAAAATCTTAAGCCACACCTGAGGAAAGACTCCTTGGGACCCGCATTAGGTGCACTCCCAAGCTCAAGCTCCAGCCAAATGATGTCTGGAAATGGCTAGTGGCTTTATCTAGTTCTAGAAAACATTGTAAAACTACCTCCATATCCTCCATCATGTCTCCATAGTATTCACATAAAGTGGCTTAATTTAAGGACTGGAAGTCGTTGAAAATTTTGGGGTCCCTGCTCTCGGCAAGGCTTTGCAGCTCTGCGTCTCGACCAAGCTGGACATTTGCCTCGTGAAACTGATCTGCGAAAGATTCGAAAGACTCCCGTAATTGATACCACTCATAATGGAGATATAGGAGGATAATGGGATGTAATAATGGAATACAGTAATGGTTGGACATCATGACACAATGGTTGGACATAGATATACATATGTATATATATAATGGGAAGATGTTTCCTATGGCTTGATGTATGTATGGGGGAAATCAAATACGAAGTGTCAACGTTGCCAGGTGCAATAGGAAATGATTTGACTCACCCACTTACTGAAGTTCCATGTCGGTTTTAAAGAATGTATCCACATTTTTGGGTTCTCACCGCAGGTCTGTTCAACTGTTCGGCATCTGGACAAGCAGCCTCCATCTTGGACACCAGAAGCTGTCGAAAGGCCGTCCAGTTCTTGCTGTCGCAGTCCAGCCTCTGGTTTTCAGGTCCCAAAATGAAGTGCAAATGGATGAAATCTGATGCCTTAAAAAGGGATGAGATTGGATGGGATAGAAGAGCTACAAGACTACAAATGAAGAAAAAAATCATGGTCCCATCTGGTCCCATGGGATCTAAATCGATCTGAATCGATAAATTCTCAGATTCTTTTTTCCACTTCTCGATTCATAAATGGTGGTGAGTCAAAACCCTGGGACACGAGGTACCTTAAATAGCTGGTTAATGGCTGGGAAAATTATCCCAAAGATGATATATAACAATCGGTTTTGACACATACCCAAATCCCTGCAAAAACACAGCCTTCGCATGTAGCCGTCATCTACCACGGATGAAACCGCGGCAAATGCTGCATCAACAGCAAGGAGAGCCAGGAGGCCGGCACCGGAGGTCCAGCCTCGCATCGGGATATCTTGGTTAGACTTTAACGAACACAAAATGATAAACGGAGATAATTGGAGATTTACGGTTTTAAAAAAATGAACAGGTCGAAAAAAAGTGTGAAAAAGTGATCATACTGACATGGATTTAAGATTTAAGTGGATTTAAATGGTGTTTCTCTTTCCCATTCTTGGATCTTGTTGGTGTGGAGCCCTCCGGAAGCTTTTGGACCTCCATGTCCTCTCCAGGCCATGCCAACCCTGCCGAAATCGAGCCCGGCTGGTGATCCGAACTGATCCGAACAGTAAAAGAAACGACCTGTAGCACTCAGCTGCGACACAACCAGTTGCAGGAATAGAATGAATAGAATGAATAGAATCGATGACTAGGCCAAGAGATCTTGATCAGCACAAACCTGATATTCTGCAACGGGTCTAGACATACTTCCAGCCCTCAAAATATTCAAACGCAAAAGCTTTGGGATTGGGATCCATACCCTCACTGCTGATCGCACTTTTGAACCCCCTGCTCCTGTTGTCAGCAAACCTTTTGGCACCAAACCGCCAGCACAGCCCTAACCAAAAAGAATCGTCAACTCACCTATGCGATCTAAGATACACTAAAACCATCTAAAACCGACAAAACAAACTACAGCAAAATCTTCCTCCTGGCTCCTCCACTTGCTCTTCTCTTCCTCTTCATTCTCTTAGGCCGAATCGCATCACATTGACATACTCATTCATACATGCAAACATGCAACCTCTCCCAATTGAGCCACTTTAGATGATCTACGGTTAAAGAGATGAATATTGCAATCAACAGTCAAGATAATCAAGCATTGTTGCTCATTCCTGATCATTCACGCAGCAAACCTACTCACATCAAGCAATCAGAGCTGTGCTTTCAACCAGGTGTCATCTACAGGCCACCGGCACTTTGCTTGGCATTTCTCTGCCAAGCATTTCTGCGGCTCCGCAGGGAGAGATTGGGTGAGGCGGCAACACACAGCCAGACATCCAAATGGCCTGGCTAAAAGCTGGTAAATCATATCAGCCACAGCAAATTTTGCTTAGGAGTGACTAGTGGACTCTGCGCCCTTTGCGCCCACCATGGCAAGGGCATCCATAGGTTGGAAAATGTGGCAAATCCTCAGCGCCACCTCTCCCATCCATCCACATGTCCTAACCCCCAAACTTGCACGAATTAGAGCTACCCTCTGGGAATTTAACATAGCTATTGAAAATGACCATTTATAGTGGATTTTCCCATAAACAATTTAAACAATGATGATTTTCCATAGCTATGTTAGTTTACCAGAGGGTATATACTATATAGATTTTGGGGCGCTTTTCGGCCCGAGCACACAGAGAGGTTCTGTGTGTACTTATGGAACTACTGTGCACTTGTGTGCACAGACCCCCCCCCTCGCCAGCTCTAAAAACTGAGGTGCGTGGGTAGCACTGGGTTTGACAGTGGAGCAACTCTGGCTTCACTGCTTTGTGCTATCTATCCCAATCAGAAACTAAGGAAACTAAGCGTCAGCACCGTCTGGAGGCTCGCAGAAAATTGCTTACGCCAATCAAGTTTACATATCACTTTTGCCAAGGATGGAGGATAAGATTGCTTCTGACAACAACTGTCGTCCTAGATGGTGAAAGCTCATGACAAATCAGTGGCTCCCTCGACTGAGCGGGTCTCCGAACGGTTCGAATCTTCAGTGAAATAGCGAAGGGCCAGCATCTTCTTGGCAGACGGCCGTTCAGTGGAATTGTATCGCAAGCATCGTCTCAGAACGTCCATGGCATCGGAGTTGAACCTGCGACCGGCAACGAACCATGGTTCACGGCTCCAAACAGCCGTGCCAAACTGGTTTGAAGAACTCGGAGGGGCAGAGTGGTCACTTTCCATTGCTCTCTCCCCCTCTCTTTCGCAAGGCAATTCTTTTGCATGTCTTGTCAGTGACTTAGGTTATCACACAAGCACTGCGGGGTCTACACAGCAAAGATCTCGGGGGATGATTCAAATTGCCAGCCCAGCAAGTCACATTTACCAACCCTTTATTTTTTGTATTATTTGCGGCGTGTTATGCTATAGCCATGTATAGCCTACAGCCTTTTTTTCGCCCTTCCTTAAAAGGCGATCCACAAGCCTCTGCCCGGCCATAGCTCGAACGTGAGCAAAGTCAGTATTGCGCCAGTTGGGGAAGGTCTGCTTGAAGTCTCGCAATCTGTTGACCCCTGGCCAAACCTCCCAGGACAAGGTGTGGCGAAGCTTCTGCGGCTCTCTTTTTTGCCTCTAGACTTATGCCTCTGACTTATGGCAGTTCTTTGTGTGGAGGCGGTTCAAGCTCTATGACCTACAGACCTACCTAACCTTTGATAATGATATATATATATATATATGTATGTATGTATGTATGTATGTATGTATGTATGTATGTATGTATGTATGTATGTATGTATGTATTGCATTGCATTGCATTGCATTGCATTGCATTGTATTGTATTGTATTGTATTCTTGGCCTCTTCGTCAGGGGTTCCGAGGACTCGGAAGATCTTGAAGATCGTATCAATCTCCTCAGCGCAGCGATGTTTTTTAGAATCAGCAGACCCAGCTGACAGGCTGCATACAGCGCATACAGCGCATACAGCGCATGGATCCATGCGCATGCATGTGACGCCAAGTCTCAGAGTCACCGGTGAACAGGGCATGAGCTGTGGCCATTTCTGCGAAGATGCAGCTCAAAGACCAAATGTCGGTGCTGGGACCATACTGCTCCTGGCCCAGCAGAATCTCGGGTGGCCGGTACCACAGCGTCACGATGTCGTGGGTATAGACCTGCAAGGGAAGAGTCTTGAATCAAGATGAGCACATCTCACACCATTGTCATGAGGTCACCCACACACACCAGTGGACCAGCAGCGATCAGGTTTCCACTGGCGAACATCCGAGACGGTTGGGAACTCCACACGGCCAGACACGGCCTTCAGGGGAACGTTGTACAGCCGCGCAAGGCCAAAGTCTGCCAAGACTAATCGCATCCGCGATCTGAACTCCAAAAGGACCTTAAGGAAAGCTCCCTCTCTCTCTCTCTCTCTCGTCGCCGAGGTAATGAAAGCTGGTGTTCCCTTTTTGAAATGATGATCATAGCATGTCATGTGGTTGCACCCTAACACAAGAAGGGGCTTGTTAGGTACACCCTTTCTAAGGGTCAAAGCTGAAGAGATGCAGCGTTGATCTCAAACAAGATCTGAGCTCACCACATTCTGGGGCTTGAGATCACGGTGGATCACCCGGCGTGAGTGGCAGAACTCGATCCCAGAGACACATTGCCACAGGGCACTCCTGGCAAGGGTGTGGGAGAACACAGTCACTCAGCAACTGCCGGAAAGGTGCGCTTCCTTGTGGCAAACTTGAAAGTCACATGACTGGAGTAAACTGACCATACCAGATGTATTCCACAGTCAGTCCTTAAAGTGGAGCCTTCCATTTTGCCGTGACGCTTCAGATACACTCGCAAATCCATTTCCATTCGCTCAAACACCTTCTGCTGTGTTGATTGCAACAGCCAGAGAAAAGAAAAGCAAAAGGAGACAAACAAGATTCAAGGCACCCAACATCAGATGTCATGCGAGCCAAAGAGTGTTTGAGCGGCCATTGTCCATTATATATATTGATATGACTCTTGGAAGACTTGAGACCTGTTGCCCGCCCTCCCAAAAATGGCACGCCCAGCACGAAAAAGTGGCCGCTCATAGCTTGCTGCCAAGGGTCCAGGTACAAATTGCTGGGGCTGCTGTACACGTCCAACAGCCGAACCACATGTCTGTGGTTAAGCTCTTTGAGAAGGGAAATCTCACGCAGAGCAACGGCCGGAACGCCATCCTCAGCGAAACAGAAAGCTTTGCAGCGCAATTCCACCAGCAGGAGACAACCAAGTGGGGCCAATACAAACACATCGATACAGACTATACATACGCGGAGCTGCTGTACTTGCACAGATATGTATAGATATGTGAGTATACACAAAAGCAGGGATAGTGTAACATGAATGTGCCGTGGAGAAAAATGTGCAGTAATGAACACGGTGAAAAGAAGGAGAGGCCAGCTATCACCGTCACCTCACATCACCTCGCAACCTGATGAGACTCAAATGGGCTCGGCAAATGGGGCCGGGCATCATCCTCTTGCATGACCCGTATCCGCTTGATGGCCACCTGCCCTTGGGTCAGCTTGCATCTTGCCCGGTAGACTGTGCCATAGGTTCCCTCACCTCGAACAAATGCTGCTACCACCCGCAGCTGGGAAGCTGTGGAAATTGTGGCTAAGGCAACTAAGTTCAACTAAGCTTGAGGCCAAGCTTGTCTTGCATGACATACCGATCTGTGAGATCTGTCACCGTCTCTGATACCATGTCACGGCTTCCAAAGGCATCCTCGCCTGCAAGAACTGGGGTGGTGAAGGCCTTCCATGCGGGGTTCAGTGGCTCCCACTTTGCAACTGCTAAGGGAAATCTTCCACATACCCGGGGGGTTCTACTTGTGCGACGGGGTCCTGTTGCCTGCTCAATCTTTCTAATATGTACCAGCACCTGAAAATTCTCGGATCTGCGCAAATCCTGCAAAACGATTGAAAAGCGATGAGTTGCCGTAACACTCCATTGAAAACCTTGGTTGCCGAACACATGGCAAGTCGAAAAGCTACAGAATACCGTTGAGGAATATCATTTTCCACGTCAAGAGGTTTTGAATCTGCAGCTGTCTCTTTGGTCCAACCGCCAGCCTTCCATGTGCATTGCCGGCTGCAATGCCGGCTGCAATGCCGGCTGCAGCGCTGGGAGCGTTGATGACAGGGCAGAGAATCTCCCAGGTGCCGGCACCGTCGAACTGGTCACTGTGAAGATCCTGCCAGGTTCCGGTCCAAGGCGCCGGCTGTGTGGGGTCAGGAACTCATCTGCGCACTCAAAATTGACTCATCTGTAGACTCAGGTCTGGGTTGGGGTTGGGGCAGGGTGCCAATACCGTTCATGTTTCCACGCACACAGAAGCATTATAAACTCACCATACATGGGTTGGGTAGCGAAACGTAGATTACAATAGATATCATGGAAAGGAATGCATCAAAGAAAGGCAGAGTAAAGTAGAAAGAAATGGTAATGTATAATCAAAGACTGGAGAACCTTCACGTGCAAGGACAAGTCAGAAGAGCGTGTAGAATCCACGTCAGCAGTGTTCTAGCCCTTGCAATAGCCTTTTTTTTGTAGTCAGTTGGGATCAGCATCCAAGGAGGGATGGAAAATACTGATCCAAATGCCCTGTCCTGATCGGAAACTCGGCTTTGCTTGGCACGTATGTGCTGCCAGGCTGTAGCAATGGGATGACATGCCCGGTCCTTTCAAAATCACAAACGGGAGCACACTTGCATTCCTCCCCAAAGGACTCAACAAAATGCTGCCGGCTGTTCCAAACCGTTCAAATCATTCAGTGTGGCAAGCCCGATCCTGTTGCAGACGATGCAATCTTCAGCCTTTTTGCCATCCATGATGCTCGTCACTTGCGAGCCCCAGTTTTCGCCATACTCCACCTGGAAGGGATTGACCAAACTTAAAGTCTGATGTCGGCAAGCTGTTTGACATGGTTGGTGCCCGCCTCTGTGCTTTGCATAGCACCCACGGCGAAACCACATATAAGCTTTCAACCAAAATGGCTGAGTGAATCAGTGCAGGAGGCTGGTCCTAAACCTTCACCTGTGGCAAACCCAACGATAAACCATCCCCAATGTGACCTTGAATGGATGGTATAAACCATCTCCAAACGGCAGGTAAATTTTTGGGTTTACAAACATGACCTCACACGGCGACGCATATGATGAGTTTGTTATCAGCCCTCTGAACCGTGCCTGTGGCATGTGGACAGCTAAAGCCTCAGCTGGCACTTGTTAAGGAGTGGCGCAAGCTTCTCAAGTCCTTAAAAAGACGGGCCCATACCAGATGTAAATATAGGTAGGTGATAAAGTGCAATATATGCATAGAGAGGGGAAGAGATTTGTACACACATATGTATGTGTAATAGAGGTTCTATTAGATTGTGTGTTGAATAACTCCCCACAGAACTGTTGGCAACCCATGAAAATCTGCAAGATCTGCATGTTGAGCTGCCCACCAAGATGCTGTTTCCATAGCAGGGAAGTCCGCAAATCAGTGATTGTGTTTTGTTGGTCTTGGCTTGTCGCACTTGATTGTTGTGACAGGTTGATGTCAGGCCCTCTCGTCATGTCTCTTCTTGTCCGATGGGAAAATGCCCTTGTTGGGCGGCTACTGGCCCCGGCAAACCCACTTTGCTGAAGCCAAATGCAAAGGAAAAAGGTTCAGAACGATTGCATCCCATGCAAAATTACAGTGGAGACCCACCAGGGACCAAATTTCCAGATCACTCTGTTGGACGCAATGATCACAAACTTGGAATATCCAGGGCCTGGTTGCTGGAGAAGACATGGCTTTCAGCTTCGGACTAGCAGCTCTGGCCCTTTCCTCCTGGACCATTTTGGTCTCCCAAATTCTCTTAAATCTGTCTCCCAAATGCTCTTAAATTGGCCTTGCAGGCAGAGTACCATGGCCCTGTGCTCCTCCGCAAAGTTGCGAACCAGGCTGCGAACATCCGCCTTCCACTGGAAACCTTGGCCGCGAACATCCGCCAACATGATCGCAAACATGATCAACGACATTCGATCAACAATGAGCTTTGCCACCTTGCCCCCCATTCCCAGGACATTCCCAGCAGATCCCAGCCCAGCAACTCTTACGTTGCTCCACGTCATCATCGTCCTCCTCATCGGAGTCTTGAGACTTGTAGGCCCTGACACTTCAAACCCTCGAAAGAAGGCTGTGCAAAAAGAATGCCATGATTTGCTTCCCTGATGCAATTCCCAGGAACAGTGGTAGTTGTGCACACTTATTTTGTCTGTGTCTCAAAGGGAAATATGCCGCTGCTGAACTGCCTCTATGTATGTGTATATATATATCTCTCTCTCTCTATCTGTAATATTTAATGTGTGTGTGTGTAAACTTATTATATGCATATATCATATATATGTGTGTGTGTGTGCGCACAAATCTAAAACCGCTGTGACCTGCTGTGTTGACCCATCCCCTTTAAATCAGAATGGGCGACATTCTCATGCTATTCCCAGCCTTGCAGCCACGACATGAGCTCTCGGGTCGCTGCTGCGCGAGCGGGGCAAAGCTCCAAGGGCCTGTGGAAATTGTGCAATGATTGGAATGGCATGACTCAAAATTCGCTCTCCGGAAATCCACAGTTTAGCATATTTTAGGATGGTTTAAACGATTTAGTATGAGCACTTTGTCTCTGGGGGTTTCGTTACTTTAGAGCAGGAAACAAACTATAAGCCACTATAAGCTGTGTCACATGGTCTCAACCGGAAGACTACAATGTTCAAAGTTCCAAGCGCGTTGAGCAATTGGAGCTGCCTCAGTCCTGTCGCGTGACATCCAAGTTGTGATGGAGACTGTTGCAAGGAGGGAAGGAAATGATCTTTTAATCTTTTCTGCAGAATCCTTTTTTTTGACAAAAAAAACCACCCGGGCCCAACAATTCAGTGTCTCTCGGCTCCTGGTGTCTGTGCTTCTCGCTCTTGCCTGGCGCTCGTACGAAGCGTCTTGATTTCTGCTCAATTCAGCATGGTTATCTTGGTTTGAAGCATGGAAACCATCATCAGGCATCCTGAGAGTCTGAGAGAGATAATAATTGTCATTGCTCAGCATTGAGAAAAGTCACGCGCACATATACAGTTGTCACAGGACATGTTCAAAATCTTCTAGCTCCCTGACCCTTGTGCGGCCGAACAATAGGCAACTGCATCTCCCCGCGCCTGCGCTGGAAACGCGGTAACTTGCCTGGAAGGATCTGGAAGGATGCCACCAAAACATGAGACAACAGCAAACATCCTCTGACATCCCTATGGATGCTGTTCATTGCTGACATCCCTATTTTCACTTTGCAAAATTTGCAAAACATTAAAATCACGGAAAGTTGGAACATGTTGGAACACAACCTATCTGACCTATCTGCATTTGGGTCATTTGGCACATGGCCCATGTCACAGCTGAAATCGTCAGGCTCCGACGGCGTTACGGGAGCAAAGGACTCAGCACTCATGTCCTGGTAACGAGCTGGGCAGGTTTACATCGGAGAAGTTCAAAGGTAGAAACCCAATGATGGGCCCTGCCACACCAAAAATGAGGAAAACCCATTGTAAACACAAATATACTTGGACTCAAGCAGGACATTCATGCCAGTTATGACAATTCCATGAAAACCTGTGCTATGCCCACCTCTGCCAGGCCCAAATCTCTCTTGACCCTCGCCACATAGTCTGCCGCAGAGTCCTGCAACGGATAAGCCATCAGAACTGTCCTGCAGAATGTCCTGTATCCTACTGGTAGCGCATGCTGTTTAGAGAATGTCCTCCTGCTCCGGGGGCCTGAATGGAAGCACTGGAAGTTGCAAGGCATGGGAGGAAAAAGGACATCGCATCATGTTACTGCCGCTCCGGGCGCCAGCATCGGGCCCAGCCCGTGAGACCCTTTTCAAGCCAACTTTGGGCCATTTAACGTTCATTGTCATTATATCTTTGGCTCTCACGCTTTTTGCGTGCACCTTCCACGGAAACATACTTCATCCCATGGAAGTCCAAGACTTGCAAATTTCAATCATACAAGTGGAAGAGCGTCCTACCAGAAATGTCAAATATGTCAAGCAATGCGAATTCTCATGGAGATGCTGTGGACCGATTTTGGGACTGTTTCTCAGTATGGGATATTAGAAAACATGTTGCTTGCTGTAGACTCACCACGATCTTATGGGTAACATACTGGGTGGAATCAAATGTCCTCACAGCCCCGTGGCAGAGCAAGGTCTTAAGCGCCTCACATTGCCACGCCCACGGAAGCCCGGGAGCAACGCTGCGCTGCGTGGCCGTGGAAAGACACGCGAGGTCGGAACCGTTTCGCTGATGCTGCTGTGGCCTGAGAAGGTCCTCCTTAAGGTCTCCCCATCGCGACCCGCACGGCGCGGTGCCACTGTGCCGCTCTTGCTATCGACTCGTTGGTGTATCTGCGCAGCAGTCGCCATGTCAATGTTGGCCAAATTGGCTTTGGATGCACCATCCGTCAAGTCGTTGGGCGGCTCCGACCACCCACAATCGATGCCCAAAGGATGCCCTGCCTTGTCCCACTCCTGCACTGGCAGACCCTGCGCGACTGGTTGGGTGACTGGAGCTCGAGCGGTTCTTTGCTGCCGCCCTGAGTCACACTCAGCACACTCGTGTCTCGGTGGGGACCGGCACACTGTGCTTCGTTTGGCTTTGGCGGTGCGTGGGACCATAGGGGTGGGAGAACTGGAACGGCAGGGCGAGGGGCTGGGCATGCGAGTGGCCACCAACTCGGCTGGCATGTGCTTCTCAAAATCCGGCGAGCGGCCTCGAGGCGATGGGCTGGCCGGCTGAGTTGCACCCAACAGCTGCTTCACCTTATGTTTCTTGCTGACCCCTGAGAGCCAACCACCACCCATGGTAAGGACCCGTGGATAATCAAACATCCCAGAAATCTCATCCTTCAAATCCTTCGGCTCACCATAGAACTCGCAGGGTGACTCCCTGTCTGCCGGTTGGCCGCTGGGCCGCGTCCGCGAGGCGTGCCTGGATGCCGCTGCCTGTGGCTGGCCGCCCTGGCTACCCTGGCCCTGGCCGTCGGTCTCGGTGGCGAGGCGTAGCTCTTCCTGCAAGGCCTTGATGGTCTGCTGCAGCTGGGCCTTGTCGCCGCGTAGCAGGGCTAGCTCCTGCGCTCGAAGATGTGGGAATCTTCTGGGATCTTACGAGGCTGCAAGGGGTGCAGTTCCTGTACCACAAGAGGTGGGAACCACGGAGCTACCAGAATTTGGGGATGCTGATGATGAACTGTGAATGATGTGTAAATTTGTTATGCGCATAATGACAAGAGTTGACTGGCCAAGATGCATTAGTCACTAAAGAAGTGGCTTTCTCCGTGTCACCCAAGATCGGAATTGAACATATTGCATATGCACATGCTGATTCAATGCTCCTGTTCCAGGGGATTCGGCTGAGGCTCTTCAAGCTGTTCTCCAGGGTCGGTTTGCTGCGACTGGTCCGTCAGCAGCTTCTCATCTGAAAGGAAGCTGGTGGCTTCTCGGGCTTCTTGGGATCCGAAATTTTCAGACAGGCTTGGCAGTTGCTTTTCGACCGCCTTGGGCGGTTCGTGCCGTTCATGAGTCTTGGCTTTATCTGCCGTTTCACCCGCAGCTCTTTCCGCTTCTAATTTTTCCAAGGCTTTCCTCAAATCTTCGGCATCCACCTTTCCCTCAGCTTGAGCTTGTGCCTTCTCCGTCTGCTCTTTCTCCAGCTGACTTTGAAGCTGTTCCAAGTCACTGCGAAGCTGTTCCACCTGGGCCTGTGCCTCTCTCAATCGTTCCTGGGACTCTTGAAGCCTCTGAGCCAAGCGATTTTCTTGCGCCCTAGATGTCTCCAACTGCTTCTGCACCTCCGAAATTCGTTGGTTCACCGCCGCCTCTGCTGCGGCAGCGCTGCTTTTCAGCTCAGCTTGGCGAAGTTCCTCAGCTTTTTGCGCAGCCTCAGCTGCCTCAGATGTGGCCCGAAGCTGCGAGACTTCCAACTGAACCTGGCCATGACGAGCCCAAATGGAGAAAAAATGAGTGGTGTCGAATGGGCATGCTTGTGTTCAAACCGTGCATACTATGCCACTATGCGCCCAGTTTTGGCATCAATTTCAGAGGCTTTGAGCTATCCACACCTCTTTTAGAAGTTCCTCCTTTTTGGTGAACTCCTCCTTCAACTCACTGAGCTCTCTCTGAGCTCTCTCCAAACGATCATCCGGCAGCACACTTTGAGCCTGATCCTTTAAGCTTTGCTTCACCAGCCGTGCGGCTCGTTCCTGCTTGGCTCTGGCCAGCTGCATCTCCTACGGCGGATCCAAGTTATCCATACCCCATGGGTCCGAACCCCTGGTACCTGGATGATCCTGGATGTACCTGGTACCTTGATGTACCTTGGTGGCATTCTGAAAGGCACAGAACATACATGAGATTCTAAGGGATCTTCCAACGTTTCATATGTTGTATTTAGTTTATCATGTTTTGAGTGGTTCTTGGTGAACCTCTCCACTTCCAGGCTCCCAGGCTCCAGGCGGCTCCTGCATCTCCCGTTTTTTTTGCTCCTCCTCGGCCCTCCTCCGTTCAGACGCCAGCTGCGTTCGACATGCCGCCAGCTCCGACTGCAACTGCTCTACCTGTTCCAGCAGATGCTGCCGCTGCGCAACGGCGGCGGTCAACTCAACGGCTTGAGACTCCAACTCGGCCAACTTCTGCTGCAAAACGTCCTTCAAGTTGTCCAGCTGCATCAGCAGCGTGTTGTGCTCCGAGCGAAACCTGCGATTCTCTTCTTGCGATGATTGAAGTTCCCCTTCCATCTCCTTTCGGTTTGGCACTGAAGAAGGCTTACAGGCAGCTTGCGCCATTTTTTGCATGACCCTATCTTCAAAGTCGAGATTCATTTAATGTCTATACTTGTGCACTACTATCGTACAATTATATTTAGAAAATATATAGATTCAGTTGAAGCTTCGATCCACACTCAGCAACATGATCAACACGCCAGCCCCTCCTCAATCATCTTCTCAGCCTTTTCCAACTTGGATTGCATGGGTCCGATCTTGTCGGTCATCCTCCTCTCCTTCAGCTGCTCAGCTGCCTCTTCTAGGTCCGCAATGTTTCCTTTTAGCACGGTGATACTGAAATCCTGGCCCGATGCCATCCCCGAATTGTGGCGGAGATTTCCCCATGGGAAAATCATCTCTCTCCATGACCAAACTCAATGAGTTCAGCTGAGCAAAACTTCTATCAACCGTAGGGATAAACATTTGGGGACATCGCATTTCCACGAACCTGTTTTGGAAGATCATGGTAACACAGGATCGGCGGCACATGGTTCTCAGGAAGTCGACTGAAGGATGAGCAGTTGGCTTGGTATTGTTACACAATATTTATATATTTTTTTTTTGTTACACAATATTTGTTGAAAGCTGCTAAATCCATGGCTGTGAAAGCTTTCCCTGCCACCCTGCCTTGTCTTTGATCATCTTTTGGAAGGAAATCTCCTGCTGAAGCAGCTTCTTCTCGTATGCTTCTTTCACATCCTAGACTTTTCAAGAGAGCGGCAGCGCAGATGTCAATTGGTGCAGGTTCACCAATAGAAGAGAGTCGACAGGAATGACTTTGGTAACGTTTGTAACTCTGACCTACCATCTCTCCTTGGCAAAAATGAAGAAAGGAAATACAAAGGATCAAAACACGTCAAAACACCAGCTCCTCAATGCTATCGTCCAGATCATCCTCAAAGAACTGCACGTCGTGTTCCAAAAGCCTCAGCAGTTCATCATCTTCAACCTTCAGCGCGTGCGATCGGATCATCTTCAATCTTTGCCGGAAAAGTGACCTCTCGCGAAGGAACAAGCGAGTTCTTTCTCGCAACTCTGCCAAGACTTTGCTGTACCTCGGGTGAAGCACAGGAAAAGAATCCCTTGGTGATAAGCCCCAAACTTTCACAACTTGTGTGTATTGGTTTGATGCGCCAGTAGCATGTGTTTGTGTTTTGTGTCCTGGAAACGTCCTATTCCAGATATTGGTAGATATTCTAGTGTAGTAGGAAGACATGACTCATGATATGCTTGGACTTAGACCATGCCTCTGCCTTCATCTTAAGTGTGCTCAGCCAAGGCACTTTCCTTCCAACTCTGTGTTCTGCTGATCCTGTCGCTCCAGTCGTTCCAGGATGGGCTGGCAGTGCAGTTCCAACCACTTCACGGATTGCTCCGGGGTGAACTCACTGTGACTGGTTGTGTCACAGGTCACCTGCCCAGCGAGCCCGGCGGGCCCAGCGGTGGCAGGACGTTTCAGAGCCTGCTTCTTTCCAGGATTCAGTTGCCATCGCAGCACCAAATCCGCAAAGCACCTGAAGTCCACCATGATTCTGGAGAGAACAGTGACAATGTAAGCACTCAAGTGTTGACCTTCCGCTATTGGCTTCTCCCTCAACATTGCGTTGCACTTCTGGAGGTCAGGACCGGGAGGACCGGCAGGTGGATCAGACATAGGATCGAAGAGGTTCTGCACCTTGTGGATCAACAGCTTCTGAAGCTCACTCTCAGTGACCTCAAAATCCGGAGAGATAGGGGAGCTGCTCCAGGGATCAGTTGAACGATATTCGTGGTGTGTCGAACATTCTGGCATCAAAAAAATCATGCTCGCCACAGTGAAACATACCTTATGAGCTCTCTTATGCCTTATGCTGGGAAGATCCCATGTTGAAACCACAGGGGGGTGCAGGGAAACAGAAAAGTCTTAGCAACGCATTGTGCCAATCCGGTTGGCTTTCAGAATCCGATTGAAGTAGTTCTGCGCTTCAGGTGCCACAGTGCGCTTGACCACTTCCACTGACTCGGGAAGACTGTGGCCGGGCTCCACTCCATTAAGGACCCGCGAGTATGGCCAGCGGGCGGGCAAGGGCAGGTTTAACTCCACCGGTGCCATCGAAACCGAGGATAGTGCCGGGTATGTTGATCCTTCACTGGATCCCAATCAATCTGCGTGTCTTAGGTTGCTGGTGCGGCCGTCATTTGGTTCTTCAGATTTGGGTATGCATCCTCCAACTATATAATCCTGTATCACCAAAGTGGGGCAATCTATCTCATCATGGCGACACATGCATTGACAATCCTACCACTTTGAGCCGCAGAGCAAGAACAACACATACCAATCAAAACCTACACTGTACACGATCTTCAGTGTCTGCACCGTGCCCTAAAGAGCCTAGGTCCAACCATCTTCAGTCCCTGGCAAAGCCACATCCAAAGCGTTCAACGCAACCTTGGGCCACGGTGTCTTGTTGGAAGTTCAACAACATTGAATCTGACTTGATAGAACCACTCGAGGAGAGGAAAAAAAACATCACATGCTGAGTCATGCTCTTGCTCCTCATCTTCTTCATCAGACCTCAAAGCTTTGGAAATTCAGGTAAAACAAAACATAACAAAACTGCTTGTCTGTCAGGCTTCAAAACTCCATCACCTTTTTGCCAGAGAGCACTGATCGAATCCCGTGCACCCCGTGCTACCAAAAATCCATTTCGCGGGGCCTCAGAACAGCGGACTGATCAGTGGACTTCTCGTCAGGCCTCTTCTGCAGGGACTCGCCATTTTGCCAGGAAGTTGTCCTTGTCGTTGTCCTGACAACAGCTGAGCCATCCATTCCAACAGATGTCACTTGAGAATGCGATCCGAGCGGTGTGAAAATATGTGTGACTACAGTCCATAAATCACTCAAAAACTATGCAGAGGGCATCAACAAGTGATAGATATATAAATATAACTGGGCACGCTGCACAGAAAACTCTAGCATTGACTATCCGTGACTATCCCTTAGTACCAAAATCCACACAAATAAATATAAATGTTCGAGCAATGTAACCATGTCTGCTGTCTACATAGAGTGCGATGCAGGCTGTGCAAAATACCGCGGCCCCCTCCTTGATACGGCACCAGGTGCAGTGCAGGAAGAAAGCAATGGCAGGGTACAACAGGATGTAACGGTAGAAGTCTTCATGGGATTTGTCCAGCATGCCGCCATAGTAACTGGTGTCAATGTAGTACCTCCAACGATTCTTGGTGGGATCAATGTGAAACTCTGGCATGCCCATCAAGCACATCTTCTGATAGTCGGAGTTGCGCTCAATCCAACGCATCCAGTGACGTCCTGGGAAGCGACGAAGCCACACGATGCTGGAGCGCAGCCAAAGGTACACCGGACCGCCCTTGTAGGGAGACATCACTGTCTCCTCAACGCGTCCGTAGACCTGTGGATATGTGGTCGTCACCTGAGGGACAAAAGATCACGAAAGGTCACCTGCTGGAGAAGAATTTAAGTTTTAAGAATCCCCGGGTGACATGTCCTCAATGTCCAGATCTATGGATGGATATGGATGGTGGTGCAACCTCGTGGTCAATATCAATAATATGTATATATATATGGTATAAATAATTTCTTATTAATGTTTATTCATTTATTTATCTATCTATTTATATATTATGTATTGAATTATTTATTCATATCATATCCAATCTTTATTGGCTATTCGGCTATGCCACCTCCATATATTCCAACTCCCCAACTACAACCCTCAACCAAAAAATGGTTAGTTATACCTACTGCGCTTGTAAATCCACAAGGAACACAACCATCATGCTGACCTGGGTCGGCTCCACAGTCTTGGGTACCTGTGCCGCAAAGCGGCGGCTGGCGGCCAGGGCGGCCAGGGCCGAGGGAGCACGGCCGTGCAGACCGCTCAGCAAACCCATGGCGAGCTGAGGGGCGGCTGCGGATGGCAGCGTCGTGTTGCGTGTGGAGCCAACACTGAGGTGAGAAAAAGCACTTCATGCTGCGCCATGCTGCGCCATGCTGCGCCATGCTGCGCCATGCCGTGACTTTGCCAAACAGTTTAGATAAATAGAATGGATGAGGTCACGTGCATGTAAAGTACCGTTTCGATGTAATAAGTAAAGACACTGAGGTGCACAAGTCGACACTGGTTTCTTTGGCTACCAGGGAGCTTCCGCATCAGGGCTGCCACCCATCTGGGCTGCTGACCCTGGCGGCATGATGAAGTTACCCTCATCCTCTTCTGGGTCTTCAGCCTGAGTTCAAGAGCAGCAGTGCCAAATGACTCCCTGACAGCGAAACACTACCAACATGCGTCTGTAAGTTTCAACATGATTCAACCCTCTACCAAAAAAATCTCTCAGTGCAGTTAGGCACCACATCAAGACTCAAAAGGCATTTCGGGCGACCAGAATGTAAGAAGACCTGCTAACTACATTCCGTGGAGTTCGCTTCTGCATCATTCGCGGGGGCTAATGGAGCCTGATACAATCCAAATCGCTCTCCTACCTGCAGAATTGGAAACCTTAGCAAAAGCAACACAATCTATCCTACAAGTAGCACCTAGTCGATCTAGTCGAAACCCATGGCAAAGATTGGCAAAGGCCACTTAACAATTATCGCCATACAAGTAGGATGTCCTCCAACCCGCGCCTGCTTAAGTTTCTTCACCAGATCAAAGGCTGAGGGGCCGCAGCGCGGCTTCGCTGCGGGCACCAAGGACTTCGCGGCACTGGCCGCACTGGACGGACTGACGCGCGCCTGGTGCAGACCTGGTTCCAGGCCAACAGATAAAGCTGGGCCAAGCACCACAACCTGCATAGAACATTTGATGCGATCAGTTTGTCATAAACAACTCTCGACCTGAAAATGGTAGCAGTTTCATCAAGCATAGCTCGGGATGAACCTGCATAGCCAGCTGCTTTGGGCATAGCCGCACTCTTACTTTTTGGCCTCAGATTCATCAACCGCAATGCCCTGTCCAACCCAGTAGGAGAGTTTTGGGTACACGACTGTTCCTGATGATCTACTGAGTCAGTTACGGTCTTCCATTTTTGGTTCTGCCGTGACAAATGGGGTCAACTTTGACCCCCCAGGTGACTGAGTCCCAGCGTCTGAGCTGCAAACTGTGTTCCCACAGCAGGCTTTCGTCCAGGACTGGTGATCACCTGCACCAGTTCCCACCCCAATCCACTGGAAATCAGTAAGCTACCCTCTTGCAATCTAACCTGGCAACGGAAAATCCATGTGTGACTTTCCAGATATTTTGCAAAATTTTGCAATATATACGTAGTTTTCTGTTCAGAACCATGGATTTCGTGGCTAGATGACCTTAAAAGGTATGTTCATTCCCTGGAGGCACCTCAGCAGTGGGCATGGAACCACCTCTGCTCCCTGGCCGCGGTTGCGACACCTCGGCACAGCCAACATCAGCCAACCGTCGTTCCCAGCTGGTTCTGGATCGCATTTGATCACCAGGTTTCCCTAGCATAGGTGGCAAGTGCGGGTCTGGGAGCCCCAGTGGTAACCTCGGAAGGGGCGGCCATGAAGTCGTCAGGATCCAATACATCTTGGATGCCGTCATAAAAGGCTGCAAGTTGTCAAGCAAAATCAGGTGGCCACAGTGACTCTGGAACTTGACGGGGTTGACCTGGAAAAAAATCATCAGGATCATTCACGATATCTCAGTGTGATCTGGCGCAAACAGCAACTTGTGAGTAACTTGTGATAGGCCTGATATGGGCAAGAAAAATCCCGTGAACAGTCATGGATTTGCGCCTCTCCCCTCGTGACAGTGGCCGCCCTTGACTCTCCAAGCTCATCCGCCTCACTGCGCCTGGGCTGTCGCAGTCAAAAACCAACCAAGGCATCTCCAGCATCTGAGGATCCCAACCTGGACCACCCCGTGAACCTGGACCTCATGTGGGATGAAGTTTGGCTCAATGGGGGTAGCCGGGTAGCAACAACACCAAAGTGGCAAGTTGCATTCATCAGAAATTGACATAGTAGTTTCATTGTGGTCAATAATTTTCGAACCATACCCAGTTTCGAGGAAATTGGCATGGCAACAATGGCAACCCCAACAAATCCCAGGTTTCCAAGCGTCCAGTGGGAGGACTGGTGATGGTCGGGACCTTCCCTGGCATGAAAAAAACAACATCAAAGAAGTGGTGGACAAATTTGTAAAAACGAAATCACTGACATGGGAAACAAATGAAGTCACACTCTGGCAATCTCAGCAATCTCAATGAAAATGAGAGATTGCACTGTGGCGCCCCGGTGATATCAGTGAATTTGGATCATAGAGCCGGAGGGGGAGGAGGTTTGTTTTTAATACGGGGTTTGCTGTCCCAGCAACGCACCTCTTGGTTGAGGGTGGCTGGTCACCTGGATCAACTTTTAGATCAGAGGGCCACCATATGCAACCCGCAGTGGCACAAAACGTCATAAGACTCTGGCACTCCGAAGGCTCATGCCCAATTGTCCATCCCTTTCCCCACTATCTGCATCCTCATCGTCAGCATCCACTTCATCCTCCTGGACAATGGACTGGCCACAAGTTGATTGTGTGAAGGGTTTTTTCTGCACGCATGGACGCCCCTGTACCGATGTGCCATTACATGTTGACATACTGATCAAAATGAAGTCAAGACAAGGAAAGCAGATCATCATCATCATCATCATCATCATCATCTTCGGCGGCGGCGGCGGCCCGCGCACGAGCATAAGCACATCTGCACATCTCCACATCTGCACATCTGCACATCTGCTAATTTTGCTAATTTTGCTAATTCTGCTAATTCTGCTAATTCTGCTGATTCTGCTGATTCTGCCCACACACTGTGGCTTGCATAGATAGGATAGGATTGGATGGGATAGGACAGGATAGGATAGGAACTATAGGATAGGATATTAGATTGGATTAATTAGGTTTAATCAAGTAGATTAGATTAATTAGGTTAGATTAATTAGACTAGATTAATTAGACTAGACTAATTAAATTAGATGAATTAGACTACATTTAATTAGACTAGATTAATTAAGTGCTCAAGCGCCTCTTCTTTTTCCACACCTGTAGGACTCTTCTCTGTGACACGTTGCCTCCAATGCCATGTTGGCACCAATGCTACGCCCCAAACTCCCAGCAACCCAGCATCACCACAAATGGGGCCATTCGACTTCGCTGATTTCATTCTTCTTCAGGAAACTTGCCTTTTTCGGAATGCTTGGACCTTGGAAACTTTCTGCAGAGGCTGGCTATTCGGCTTTTTGTATCATCAGACATCCTTCGGTCATAAGTTGCTACCGAGGCCTCCTGTAGATAAATTTCAAGCACCCTAGTACTGAGCCATCTTCCCTTTCGTCTCACATACTCTGCGTCCTCTGTCTCTAGCAACCAGTACGTGGCTCCACCTGGTCTGGTCTGGCGATGATGGCCCCCCTGCTCATGAGAGGCGAAGGCCCTGACACGATCAGGAACAGAAGCCCGAAGTCCAATGGGCGTGGGGGAGGTTGCTGGCAGGCTGCTGGCAATGGCAGAAGTCCACAAATCCAAGCCAAGGCCAGGCAACCAAAGATGATCCCCAGGAGGAGTCCACAGAAGAAGGAGCCAAGCAGAGCAAGTCCAACACCAAAGCAGTGAGAGGGACAGGAGATACCCCACCAATTTGTTGTGACACCCGAGGATATAAATCCAATTTGGGGGCCCCGTCCATTCAAAGCTGTTTGTGCTTGAGAATCCAACATACGATATGCAGTCGCATTTAGTGAAGTCAGGTTGGATTAATTGGATTAGATTACTTGGATTAGATTAATTAGATTAGATTAATTCGATTGGATTAATTAGATTAGATTACTTGAATTAGATTAATTAGATTAGATTAATTCGATTAGATCAATTAGATTAGATTAATTCGATTGGATTAATTAGATTAGATTACTTGGATTAGATTAATTAGATTAGATTAATTCGATTAGATCAATTAGATTAGATTAATTCGATTGGATTAATTAGATTAGATTACTTGGATTAGATTAATTAGATTAGATTGATTCGATTAGATCAATTAGATTAGATTAATTCGATTGGATTAATTAGATTAGATTACTTGGATTAGATTAATTAGATTAGATTAACTCGATTAGATCAATTAGATTAGATTAATTCGATTGGATTAATTAGATTAGATTAATTCGATTGGATTAATTAGATTAGATTACTTGGATTAGATCAATTAGATTAGATTAATTCGATTGGATTAATTAGATTAGATTACTTGGATTAGATTAATTAGATTAGATTAATTCGATTAGATCAATTAGATTAGATTAATTCGATTGGATTAATTAGATTAGATTACTTGGATTAGATTAATTAGATTAGATTAATTCGATTAGATCAATTAGATTAGATTAATTCGATTGGATTAATTAGATTAGATTACTTGGATTAGATTAATTAGATTAGATTAATTCGATTAGATCAATTAGATTAGATTAATTCGATTGGATTAATTAGATTAGATTACTTGGATTAGATTAATTAGATTAGATTAGATTAATTCGATTGGATTAATTAGATTAGATTACTTGGATTAGATCAATTAGATTAGATTAATTCGATTGGATTAATTAGATTAGATTACTTGGATTAGATTAATTAGATTAGATTAATTCGATTAGATCAATTAGATTAGATTAATTCGATTGGATTAATTAGATTAGATTACTTGGATTAGATTAATTAGATTAGATTAATTCGATTAGATCAATTAGATTAGATTAATTCGATTGGATTAATTAGATTAGATTACTTGGATTAGATTAATTAGATTAGATTAATTCGATTAGATCAATTAGATTAGATTAATTTGATTGGATTAATTAGATTAGATTACTTGGATTAGATTAATTAGATTAGATTAATTCGATTAGATCAATTAGATTAGATTAATTCGATTGGATTAATTAGATTAGATTACTTGGATTAGATTAATTAGATTAGATTAATTCGATTAGATCAATTAGATTAGATTAATTCGATTGGATTAATTAGATTAGATTAATTCGATTGGATTAATTAGATTAGATTAATTCGATTGGATTAATTAGATTAGATTAATTAGATTGGATTAATTAGATTAGATTACTTGGATTAGATCAATTAGATTAGATTAATTCGATTAGATCAATTAGATTAGATTAATTCGATTGGATTAATTAGATTAGATTACTTGGATTAGATCAATTAGATTAGATTAATTCGATTAGATCAATTAGATTAGATTAATTCGATTGGATTAATTAGATTAGATTACTTGGATTAGATTAATTAGATTAGATTAATTCGATTAGATCAATTAGATTAGATTAATTCGATTGGATTAATTCGACTAGATTAATTGGATTAGATTAATTGGATTAGATTAATTGGATTAGATTGATTGGATTAATTAGATTGATTGGATTAATAAGATTAGATTAATTGGATTAGGTCAATTAAACTAGATCAATTGGATTAGATCAATTAGATTAGATCAATTATATAGATTAGATCAATTATATAGATTGGATCAATTAGATTAGATTAATTAGATCAATTGGATTAATCAGATTGATTAGACTAATTAAACTAATTAGACTAATAAGACTAATTAGACTAATAAGACTAATTAGATTAATTAGACTAATTGGACCAATTAGATTAATTATATAGATTAATTAGGTTAATTAGATTAATTAGATCAATTAGATTAATTAGATTACTTAGATTAGATTTGATTAAAATTGATTAGATTTAGATTGGATCAGATTTAGATTTAGATTGGATTAGATTTAAATAGGATTAAGATTAAGATTAAGATTAGATTTAGATTTAGATTCGATTAGGTTAGGTTAAGATTTAGATTGGATTAGATTAGATTAGATTTAGATTAGGTTGAGATTAGATTAGATTAAATTGGGTTAAGATAAGATACGATTAGACTAGATTGGATTATATACGACAAGATTAGATAGATAGATATGTGTGTACTACACATTCATAGTCACCTTCTTTTGCTTCCATGACATGCGCGTAGTCCACGGCTTCCTCATCCATCACATTGGAGAGCATCTTCTGGAGCAAGCCGCGGTTGGCGCCTGAGATCGACAAGGATTCACATGGATTACAATCGCGAATCATCCGCTTAAGTATGGTTTGTGGTGGACATAACTAGAGACATACTATGGATAAGTATAGTTAATGGGGTTGATAAACATTTATAAACCAACTTACAACTGGACAGCACCATCCTGTAACATGACAGTAACATCTTTCCCCAAACCAAACGACCAAACGAATCGGTGGCTGCCAGACATCAAAGCCCTGGAGGCCGCGGACATGTGACCACACCGTCATCAGCGTCAGGGCTCACCTGCAGCAACGCGAAAAAATGGACCATTGGGATTATATTTTGGTCGAAAAAATGCCAAAAGAAAGCCACTGGACTAGTATAGTAGTGGGATTATGGTAGAAAATACTATTTAAATACCATTGGGATTGTAGTAGAAAAGCCACTTTCTGTACTAGTATTTAAATTTCGCTGGGATTTGTTTGATGCCCGTTACGTTTCTATCTTTTTCGGATATCGGAGTCCCAATCAGAAACCAAAACTCTCTGCCTGCCTCCGTCTTGGGTGCCTTGGGTACCTTGCCAGCATCAGCCTGAAACGAAGTGGCAGACAATGCGGACACTGCGCTGTTCGCATGGGTCGAGGTCATCGTATCAACTGGACACAGGTTCAACTTGGTTCAACGGTTCAACTCAACCGTCTCAGCCTCAACAAAGCAATCCCATTTTTCACATCCGCATGCGCGAGTGCAACTCTGCGGCTACATTATGGTGCAACAGTTCCATCTGTACCTTCAAAGAAATGAAGTCCGTGAAGCTCAGTCCGAGCTGCTGAATGTGACCGAGCACTTTCCTCAGGCACACATGCATGAAACTAAGGCGCTCACACCGAATGTTCAGCCATTCGAGCCATTCGATCCATCTTTGGTGCCTCTAGTTGCGGAGCTGACGCCGTCGGAGGAGAGTCACTAATGCAGCTGTTACCCCAGTGGTCACGACAGCCATGATCGCCGTCATCCGATGGCGTTCAGATCTAGGTCCACTAAGGCCAAGAGCAGCTTGCATCATTGTCCACCATGAGCTTGGCTGACACTGCATCTTTGCAATGAGCCATGATGCCACTGGTCCATCTGAATCAGTTGATACGATGTAGGCATGGCCTTCGGAGGCCGAGCTACTGGACTTCAAACAGACCTGGACTGCGAGGCTCGGCTCCTCCAGGGAGCTTCTGGCACCATACTGAAGCACCAAATCATCCTGGAGACCCACCACTCGCTTCCCCTTGATGATGTAGGGAGTCATGGGCGACAGCCGCTCCCACAGAGCATTGGCCAACCAAGGGTCCTTGGAGACCAACCTCCCCGTGCCTGCGAAGCCCAGGGCTTTGGCACTGGAAAGGATCACCGCACATTCGGAGGCGGTGAAAACTCCACTGATCTCCCTGCAGTCCTTCGTGACCTTCACAACTTTGGGAGAAACCTGGGAGGCAAAGGCATCACCACACGATTTGCTGATGGCGGGCGTGGTGTCTGTGGATCCAACTGCATCCTGTGCTTGGACAGGCGACCGAGAAGGAGAGCTGGCGGCTGTGTCATCCCGGCTGCCAGATTGCAACCCTGGAGACATGGGTTGAGAAGGGACTAAGCCTGGATCCACGGGATTTCTTGGCCGCACAGTCTTGGGCTTCGCTTTGGCTTTTTGTTTGGGCATGACCATTGCACCTGCCCATGCAGACACGCCTGGGAAGAACTCTTGCGCATCAGGCTTCAGAGCTATGGCGGCCTTGCCGTTGGCTTTGGATTCCTTTTTTGGTGACTCCTTCTTGGCTATCCATGATGCCGATGATGCCCCGAAGTCTGGGAAAGCCATGGCAGCCGCAGCCGCAGCTGGCATCGGTGGTGGCATCATGGGAGCAAAGAGTGGGGCCTGCAGTGGCGCAGCTGCCGCAGCCTTCGCCACTTGCGCAGCTCGGGCCTGTGCGGTTGGAACGAACTCGGCCGCATCCTTCCGCAGAGTTTTGGGTGCCACTTCGGGTGCTTTCACCACTTCTGGAGTGTTCCATGGCTTCCCAGGAACAAACTCGGTGGCTGTCTTGTCTAAAGTCTTCTTGGAAGGTGCTGAAGCTGGATTCAAAAGATTCTCCTCAGACTTCTTGCTTCGTCTTCGAGTGCCATTTTCTTCTTTCTCCTTTTCCTTGGACTCTTTCATCTCATGGTAGACCGACTCATCTACTTTTCGAATCAGGGAGTACACATAGCCTCTCCAATTGGTGATGCGCTTGCGCTGGACTCCTTTGAGCGAGTTCTGAAGTAGCTCGCATGCCTGGCGATGTCCAATGGAATCCACCGGATCTGCTCAGCTCATGATCGGGGGAAACGAAATTTCCTATACGTTTACAGAATATGGTGTTTAGAATGGGAAATAGTGTTCAGTTATTCCATAATATTCCATATATCTGGGCAAATTATAATAATTCACTTAGCTGAAATAAGGCCATTTTGGGATGATTCCTCTTATTAACCATGATTCCAGTGAGGTCGCAGTGAGGTCGTTATAATTTACCCATATATATATATATATATATATATTTATTTATTTATTTATATCTGTGTGTGATCATCCTCAAGATACAATACGATAGAACACGGGATGTTCAAACATATTCATCATATTCTCATGTTATTTTTCTGGAAATGTCCTGGCCTCCAAGGCACGACCCTTCTCATTCAAGGCATCCAACAGGCGGATGGCCTTTGCATCGAAATCCCCCGGCTGCACCGGGGTGAGCTTGCACACCTGCAACAAGTTGTCACAAACGGCCATGGTGAGGTCCCAAGTTCCGAAATGGTAAGTGGGCTATAGCTTACTAAAGTGGCAAGAGATATCCACATGATATAGCTGATATACCAGTTGTGAGGGGGAAGAAGGGGAAAAGATGGGAAGAGCTCAATGACAAATCAAACATCAACTGGAGTATCACAAGTGTTCGTCTGCATTCGTCTGCCCCATGGCTCCCTGACGTGGCATGCTGCGGCCCATAGCCGCTTTGTTTCCAACACCATTAGTGCCAGCTGTTGAATCGATTCATCGATCTTCAAGGAAAATTTTCGGGAATGACTGTAGCATCTGCATCATCTGCTTTCCGATGCGCTCTAAAATGTTACAAGAAGCTTGGGGGAGGTTTGGACTGAACTTTGCTTTCTATTTCGGGGTGATTGCCTGAATCTCCATCTTGCCCAGTGGAAAACCCAAGGGCTCTTCCATGATTTTCCTTGGACAATGCTGCATGAAGCTTTCTAGGTTCATGCAATCGGATGGCTGGACCCAACCTCCCTGTGGATGAACCCGCCTCCTGAAGCGCGTTCTTGTAGTCCTTGCCCTTGGCCATAGATCACATTCCAGAGGCCAACTGTGAAAAGGGAACATGACATTCCAACAAGGTGCCGTTGCTGTTTGTGCTGTTCAAAGTTCCTGAACAAACCGCACCCTGATGTGTTTCTCTCATATCCTTTTGAACAAATCGAGTCCAAGCGTCAGCGAGTTGCTCTTCAAAGGGATCACCACCCTTAGACTTACCTTTCACCATAGCAACTGGCGAGGGAAGTGCGAACGGAAACACAAGCTGCAACCTCCCCCTCAGGAACTTATTGCCTTGAGCCTCTCAAGGCTGCCCCAGACTGCCCATGCAAACTCCGCTGAGTTAAGAACTGCCAAGGATAATTGATAACTGAAATAAATGAACATGAAGGCACATTGACACGGTAACGGCGATGTGACATGCCATGACGCAGCGCTCTACTCCAGGGGTCGCACACTGGAGGCCCCACGCCCTCGTCCTAGCAGCAGAGTGGCCCAAAAAAAATGATTTTCCGTCCAATCCAAAAACCATCTGAAGAGCCCACCCATCACCATCAAAGTTGGATAAGATTGTGATACATTCCGTACATTTGTTCACAAATGTTGGATCAAATTCCACTCAAACCAGGTGTATCCCCGATGCCTTTCGCCGCCGAAGCCTTTGATGCAGCACCACGCCTTGCGGGATGGGGATCAAGCCCCAAACATCGTTGGATTCTCGCAAGGGGTCATCAACATATATGTGTGTAATGTGATGTAAACATAAACATACATGTAATGTATTGTATATTGTATATTGCATATTGTATATTGCATATTGTACATTGTATATTGTACATTGTATATTGTATGTATATGTGTATGTTTATATGTGTGCTATGTATGTTATGTATGTTATGTATGTTATTTATGTCATGTAGGTTACGTATGTGATGTATGTATGTGATGTATGTTCTGTATGTTATGTTTGTTATGTTTGTTATGTATGTTATGTTTGTTATGTCTGTTATGTTTGTTATGTTTGTTGTGTTTGTTGTGTTTGTTATGTTTGTTTTGTTTGTTTGATTGTTTGATTGTTTGTTTGTTTGTCTGTCTGTTTGCCTTTGTATGTATGGATGCATGTATGTATGTATGTATGTATGTGGGTGGGTAGGTAGGTAGGTATGTATGTAGGTATGTATGTACGTATATTGTACATTGTGTATTGTGTGCTGTATGTTGTATGTTGTATGATATATATATATATATATTGTGCATATATGTATTCTATGTATGTATGCGTATATATAGTATGTATGTATCTTTATGTATGGTTTCCTCTCATGCATGTATACATATGTATGTATATAATATATAATGTGTGATGTATACATTATTTACATGTGCATATATATATATGTGTGTGTGTACATAATTAATCATAATTGGACATACACATGTGAGGTCTCAAAGCGACCTCATGTCTTCGGATTCTGAACTCAGACCGTTCATTGAACTTGTCCATGCGCAATTGTTTTAACTTGTGCACGAAACCACAATGCATCTTGTATGGGTTGTTCATTGTGCGTGTGCCCGCTGTGCTCACTTTTGGGGCTGCATCTCTCTCCGCAGCCTTTGCTGCGACACACAGTGATAGCATCATAGCAATGGCAACCCTGATGTCAATAGTGAAAAGTGCCAGAGAATCGTACTGTATCCTGCTGAATCCTGCTGAAATCATTGAATGTTCAATCATTTTGACCACCTCCGTCCCAGACAGCTGCTGCCCAGGTGGGTCCCTCAACTGACAACTGGATTAAGTCTTGGAAAGCCACGAGCACGCTCTTCCCGCCAATACTCATATAAATCACGGCCGTCTGAGGGCGCATCCCTTTCCCAAAACAAGCGATCTGTTGGATCCCTGACACCTGCAGACTGCACAGCTTCCAAGCTGAGGATAATGCCGACAGTCTTGCGGGTTACTGTGAAGCTCCGCTCCTCCACAAGGCTCCAGCAGGTGTCAACTGCTTCAAGGGCATCTTTGACCCTTTGAAGCACACGCCTGCTGACAAACAATACAATTCTGCCTGTGTCCGAAACAACTCGAAACAATTCCCGAAACATGTTTTCGTAGAATTCCTGCGGCTTTCCACGGATGGCAAACTGCCTATTCCATGGAGGAGCCACCATGATCTTCTCAACAGACCCGTCCCGGAGTGGAATCCCTCCATACTCAGTGGCATCCACCTGATTTAAAGATACCACTTGCGACAGTGCCTTGAAATTGTTGTTGCAGCGTGCGAGTTGGCTGCTATTCACATCACACCCCACAAAGGTGGCATTGGGCCACCAAATCGCTGCTTCAGCCAAGAGGGTGCCTTGACCACACATGGGGTCCAGGACCATTTCGCCCTCTCGGATGTCCAAACTTCGGGCAATCGCCCAAGCTTCCACATGATGCATGCCTTGAAAAGGTAAAGATCCCCCAAGCATCATCTGATTTTGCTGCAGAATGGGGATCTCCAGCAAGATGAGGCTGCCCTCTACGTGACAGTGGACTGTGAGATCGGGAGATCCTGGGTCCGCAATTTCAACTGACAAGTCCATTGATCAGAAGAAACACCCAAAAATGAAAATCGATCCTGCATCCAAAGGTACTTTGCTACTGTGTGCAACCTACGGTATTGCCATGCATTGTCTACACAAAGTACCTCAGGGTACATCAAAATAAATGGATCCAGGGATCCTTCACAAATAAAACATGGACATGATGATCATAACCATCTCCCTTCACCTCCCAACTCAAAGAATTTGCAAGGTCTTAAACTACCATGTTCAAATCTGAAGGGAAACTGATGGAAATTGATTGATTTCATTGACACTTCGCACATTCTATGCACTTTCCATTGCGGAAGTGTACTTCCAAGGCGCTCCCGCGGCCTGTGGCCAGCCAGCCCAGTCGCCTTTGAAGGCACTGTGCCAACTCCTGCTGCAGCTCAGATAGCTCAGCTCCCGCTCTCAACTTGGATTGCTTTTTGCACACCACGCAGAAGCTGGAAATCGGTTTCAACATTTGTCCATTTTTGGAAATTGCTCTCAAATAGTCCAAATCCGCAAGTACAGAATCCCAGTCGGTACCTTCATCCAGCAACTTTACCAGCGATGCGAAGTCTTCACTGGCATTCGTGCAATTGAAGCAGGAAATGATGCGGCGAATACTTCGCACATGCCTCACGTCCCGTAAGTCTTCGAGCAAGTTGGAGCGGTCCACATCACTGGCCTCGAGATACCACCGTCCCTTGGTTGCTCGAATGCGCATTCCTGAGCCTTCCAACTGTGCACGAGCCAATTGATTCAGAGAAGCCGAAGCACCGTGGCAGATTGGAATGGCCACAAACTGGACAAACTGGGAAAAGCTCAGGCCTTTTCCAAAGTGCGCCAGGCAGACCAGGCAGACTGCCACACAAACCCGGCATCGCCATCGAGGCCATCGAGGCCGTCTTCGGCCGCTGTCCCCAATCCGAGCCATGGAAGGCTGCGGCGCTGTGAAGAACCACGTGATGAATCAACATGGATCAACGTATAACGTAAATGGTATGAATTGGGTTCAAAGAATAATTAGTGTAATTAAGTATCATTAAACACCACTTGAGACATCAAGGAATCAAGGAATTTGATATCAAACAAGGAGTTATGCACCAATTGCATCCAATTGCACCCAATGAACCGCGCAGCGGAACCCCCGACCCTGCTGCAAAGGCCCGGTTGAAGGTGGATGAAGATGCAGCCATGGCCGGGCCATAGAGTAGTAACCGAGTAGTATGCGCCAAATTGCGCCAAAAGATGGCTGCACTGAGATGTCAGTGCTGGAAATGGCTTAAACACGTTGTGCCCAATCACTACTGAGTCACTACTCAAGCAGTCCGCTGCTTGGTTGAGGATAGAAGTTCTACCTGCAAACTCGGCCCGTCGGCAATGTCTGGCTAATAGTTGCTAAGGTTTTCGGTCCTGATAAGCACGTTTTATTTTGGAAAAGTAGTGCCGTGAAAACATTCCTGCAATGTAGCTCCCAATTTCTGAGTTGGCTGCCGTCCATGCACACTTCATTGAGACCTCCAAGCCTTGTCATCTACTTTAGTTTGCAGTATGAAGGCGAAACGGTCCTCTGCTGTAAGACTCACGTTCTAGTGTGGAAAATACATTACCAAACCATTTACCCACTGTTACTGTTTGATTGTACCTGGAAAGTTGTTCATTGGGTTTGCCACACTTTGTGAAATTACTACACTTCTTTTTCCACTCCGATTCATCGAAGTGCTTTCTCTTCCCATGTCCGAGCTGGTCCTGTCGTTTCAGCACCTCTTTGGGCCGAGATTGTTCCTGGTGTCGTGGCGTGGCAGTGTCGCTCTTGGTCCAGCGGTCCCGGCTTGCAACATCTTGCAACCATTTCTTCCAGTTCCCGAAGGTTTCAATGTCAATAGATCCTCTGGCCACTCTTGCCATTCTGGCCACTCTGGACCTAGGTTTCCAGCGCATCAGCCTCCGGCATCTCTTGTCCCCGATCTTGTGTGGCCGGAACGTTGCTAAGGCTATTTGCATGCAGGAACTGGTGAAGCTGTTCGGCATTGGAATTTCCCATGACTTCACCCAAGGTCTCCAAAGACAAATCCAAGATGCCAGCTAAAGTCCCTGCCTTCCGCGCCAAACTATGCATATTTTTGGTGTAATCCCTGGCAGTTTCCGGAGCATCTCGAAAGCAGCGGAGTTGGAGCGCACGCGACCAGAACCTTGGAGCTCCTCGGCATCGGCGTCTTCCGCATCGACTTGTGCCGCAGCCCTGGGATCGGGCTCGTAACGACCCTCCTTCAGGACTGAAGGCTGCAAGAGATTTATTATGAAGATTAGTACAATTGACTTATGCATTTATTGATATACATATATATATACATAATGTAGTATCCCGATTAGTGTGGGGATTCTGTATTGTGTCAAAATAATTTTGACCCAGTGTCATTGTTGGAGTGGGTCGGTATTGTGTCAAGTTTTTATTCTGAGGCAATTTTTTTGTTCAGCATTTTGTTTATTTTGTTTTTCACGTTTGGATTTTTTTATTTTAAAAAAAGACATACATAATTGATTTGATTAATTATTTAATGAATACTTGCAACATGTTTTTGAACATGCAAAAAATAATTATAGGATGCCTCATTAAAACCCAATTATATATATGTATATATATATATATTTTTTAAAAAAACAACCAATTTTTCAAAGGGGCACCCCATCAGCAAGATTGATCTTCAATAGCATGTTTGTTGTGGATATATACATGGGCATGGTCAAAGGGAACCACAAAGTTGGATATAACTAGCCTTTCTACGTCCTTGCTAGAAGCAACTGTTCCATCTGACGAAGTCAGCAGTAAATCAGATTGCGAAAACCGTACAGGCAAAAATCAAAATTGGTTTGAAAGCCGGTTTGAAATTCGACATGCCGGTTCTTGGCTTGGCCGGTCGCCATTTCGGAAATGGAAATTGGAAAATTGCAGGTACGTTTGCACGACATCATGGATGGGTCTTCGTTGGCCCGTGCCATCCATGTGCCCACGGGCCCCCTGCGTGAAAATGGAAATTGCAAAAACCTGAAGAATCAAACGTAAACAAGTAGTGCAACGAAATCAACGGATAGAAGTTTTACATCTATTCAGATGGTCCACACACACACACATACATACATACATACATACATTACATACATTACATACATTACATACATTACATACATTACATACATTACATACATTACATACATTACATACATTACATACATACATACATACATACATACATACATACATACATACTTACATACTTACATACTTACATACATACTTACATACTTACATACATACTTACATATACCTCATACCTACATACCTACATACCACATACCTACATACCTACATACCTACATCCTACATACCTAC